TAGATAACATGATCCCAATTTTTTTTAGAAAGTAATAGAGTCCAAAGTAATACTTGCATCATTCATTAACAACAGCATAAACATACTTAACAAGAAAACCAACAGTTTTGTTGAGGAAGAATTATAAGTTAAACATTATTTAATTTTTCAATTATTATTTTTTTAAACTATACTGAATTAAAGAAAGGCAAGCATTTTGCAGCAAAAATGCATGTTGAATGAAATTCTCTTTACCCAATTTTAAAGGGTATAATTAGAACGAATTACCCAGATGCAGGGTAATCCTTACCGGCTGTGGAAATCATTGTGATTTTACTTCAATACAGGTAAAACATGAAGGGAGATTTTCTGGGATAGAGTATGCAAAGATAAGCTTTTTATGTTAGGAAATTTCTGTGGGTATGCTTTTTATGGAGTGAGGGTTGAATCACTGCTGAGATTAGTTCTGGAACTTGCACAAACGGCACAAAAGTCCACAGTAAGACTCTTTAAATGAAGACTCATTTGGAATTGAAACATATTCTTCCTAGTGCCTTGTGAAAGTAGTCCTTTTATAATTCTGAACTTTGAATTGAATGATATAGAATTATACATTATTGATATAAGCTTTTTGATAATTGCAATTTGTTTTTTGTCTCTCTTCTTTCTGACAGCTTTGGAGATACTCTTACACAGCAACATATTACATCTATGACCTTAGCAATGGGTAAAACACCTCTGTTTATTAATTAATGATACTACTTAAATCTAGTATCTAGACTGTTTTCATTCCAAACTCTTATTTGGGGTTAAGAAGGCTTTATCTTTTTACTGATCTTTGTTTCTTACTTTTTAGTAATGCAGTATATATGTACCCATAAAGCTTCATAAAGCTTACAAAATTCAAGAAAATACTTATATGGGATACCCACTTCTTTTTATTTGACTAATATTTTGCATTTTTATTCACAATATAGTTTTGGTTTTTCTGTTTTTGAAGATCAAATTAAACGTGCTATTTATGGAAAAAAAATTATATAGGAAAGTACAAAAACATTCTTGGGAATGAGACACTATTTTTAGGACAGCAGCTATTTCACTGATGGGAAGCGGAAGGGAGGGAGATAGATGCAGCGTTAGCTGTGTCTGAACACATACTCCATTAATTGTTTTAAAATTAATTATTATGAAAATGACAAAATGTTAAAATTATTTTTAAATGAAAAAACATATTACATGTAAAATATTAAACATTCTTTTGAACTTAGATGGTATGTAAATTGTCAGACAAGTACCATTTTCTTTATTTAGATATATATTTTTTAACTGAAACATTTACCATTTAAAAGAAAAAAATTAAACGAACGTGCGGACAGGCAAAGGATTGACAAAGAGAATTGCTGGCAGCACGAAGAATGTGTAAAGGCCTAAAGGAGGGAGGAAGAGCATGGTGCAATCGGGAAATGCAAAGTAGGTCAATTTGTTTGAAATTGAAGGAGGAGCCCGCTGACTAGAAGGAGGTGGTGAAAATTGGGCAATAGTCAAGGCCAGGAAGCATAGGCCAAATAATAATGAGGAAATCATTAAAATGAGTTTAGATCTTTCTTTCTGATGACAATAGGGATTCATTCAAAGGTTTTAAATGGAAAATTATATGATCAGATTTGCACTTTAGAAAAATCACCCTGGCTAAGTGTGGACAATGAATTGCGCTAGCTACTCATCTTAATGTGATATCCTCTTTGCTGTTATATAAAAGGAGAAATAATTATATGGCTTGAAGAGGTATTGAAAAAATATCTTCTGGTCTATTTCCCCTTTTGTCTAGCAAGAGCACAAAAATTCAAAAAAAATTATCTACTTCCTTAAATGTTCAGAAAAGAATTACTCTGATCTACTTAAACTGTCAAATTAAGAAATAGAACTGCTTCTTAAAGTAGAATCTAAAATCCGTCTAATGCATTCTGAGTCCTTCTTGTCTCTGAATCCATATCATCACCAAATTTGAGAAATATTTATTGAGCCCCTACTATGTGAAACACATACAACAATGAGATGCAAATGAGCTTGGGGCACCAGCCCTACTTTTAAGAAACCTTTCTATTAGTGAGTGGGGAATCTTAGCCTTTCAGCCCAATTTATCAAGGCTCTAATTATGTCTTTGCTTTTCTTTTAATCATTTTGAAATTCTTTTGTTGAGGTTCACCAAATTGAACAGCATTCAAAAGGATGATAATCCTATATTTAATCATAGATTGTATAAGCTTTATGATCTAAAATCACATTAAATATTTAGTTTTTCTGCAGTGAATTCAATCAAACCACTGGTTTTGTTTATTTGTTTTTGTTTTCTGCACAACTGTCTAATATTTTGGATTTTTTTGAGGGAGTGGGTAATACAGCATAATTTAGGAAGTAAAGAATAGACGGCAAATTGTTTGAGATTCTAGGCATCACTGAATACCACTACTTTCAAGTCTTTTATATGCCTCTGAAGACTCTATAAAAATCTAGCATAAAGAAAATAAGACAATGCTGGTTCCAAGCTAGGGAGGCAAGACTGAGGAGATGGACACCTTTGTAAAGCATCCTCCCTCACCTTAACTCATACCTTAGTGACTCAGAAAACAGAAAATGGCAATTGTGGTGGCTTGAGATGTGTGCTGAGATTTTTGCTGAGATTTTTAGCTTAGTGCTGTCTGTGTGATTGCATAGATAATTCCACTGTATGTAGAAAACTGAGATAGTGTTACAGTATCAGAGGTAACATGAGCACTGGCTTGAGACCAAATTGTGAACCAGGTGAAGAATGTCTTCCTGCTCTGTCACTCAGGCTAGAGTACAGTGGTGCGATCTCAGCTCATTGCAACTTCCTTCTCCTGAGTTTAAGCAATTCTCCCTCCTCAGCCTCCTGAGTAGCTGGGATTACAGGTGTGCACCACCGTGGCTAATTTTTGTGTTTTTGTAGGGACAACATTTCTCTATGTTGGCCAGGCTAGTCTCAAACTCCTGGCCTCAAGTAATCCGCCGCCCGAAGTGCTGGAATTACTGGCATAAGCCAGCAAGCCAGGCCTGGGTCATTCTTTTAACTGGACTCTCACATCCCTTGCAAAATGTTCCGGATCACCCAAGGGCCAGGTGCTCACCTACTTCCCTCTGGCAGCCAGGACTCTCATTGCAGCACCGATGCTCACTTTCCATGGGCATCACTCTCCCCATCCAAAATTGTGCCATGGTCCCTCGTTACTTGCTAGGCCTCATGCAGGCACCTAAAAAGTTACATCAAAGCAGTGTGTGTTATAGATCTTCACAACTATCCAAACATTAAAAGAGTGGGAAAGGCAGAAATGTCAGGCACATGTTAGGTCCAGGTTGGAGAGGTTTTTTTGGAGGGGCTGGACAAGAGTCTTTTTTGAGGCTCCTCAAATTGTGCTTTGGAGGCAAGTTTTGCTTTGCCTTCACACGAAGGCAACCTTGATGAAATTATTAGTACAATCTTCAATATGACAAAAGTCAAAAAGTAAGCATGATATTCTATGACTCTGTAACACTTATAAAAATCTGAATGCATTCTTGCTGAAGAACTACAAAAGCTCCACAATGCAAGTCACTTAACTGAGTACTTGCAGAGGGACTCTAAGCATCAAAGTGAGAATTTTGGCCAATAGACTATTTGAAATTTCCCCATGGGTGGAGGACTTTACAAGCTTAAGGCATACTGCCCAGTATACAATCCATTTTTCAGTTTAGCTTGAGATCAGATGTTCCTTTCCTTTTCTGATTTCAAGTCAGATCCCTGGGGAGATTGTCAAATGGCATCTTATTTTCAAAAATTTGAAATGCATATGCATTCACAGAGATGGGGGTTGTGAATGAGAATGTAGAAGAGCACATACTAAACTTCAGTACAATTATAGAATTTCAGAGCTGGAAGGCACTTCAGTGACCATTTCAGTCTAGTGTGTGCAAATTTTACAGTCCCAGGGGTTAAAAGGACTTGAGTTTAATTCAAGGTCTGCCAAGAACTGGCAATGTGGCCTTAAAAAGTTCTATCAGCTGACTAAACCTCATATTTACTTTCTACAAAATGAGAGGGTTCTATTAGATAATTTCTAGAGCTGTTCCCCACTTTCACAGTCTGTATTTAATCCATTCACCTCACTATGAAGGTCAGAAAACTGACACCCAGGAAAGTTAAGTGACTTTTAAGTACCTACTGGAAGAACAGCAACCACCACCTATGTCTCCATTTTTTCATTCCTGTATTCTTTTCATTAGGTTTGTAGCTACAGAGGGCTGATACTTAATTGTTTGTTTATTTTTTCTGTTTATACAGATATTTTTTTTATTTGCATTGAACAGCAAGGTTTGTTGTTTTTCTTTCTTTCTTTCTTTCCTTCTAGAGAATTTGTAAGAGGAAATGAGCTTCCTCGTCCAATTCAGTATTTATGCTGGTCGCCTGTTGGGAGTAAATTAGTAAGTGTTTAAATTTTTGAAGTGTTTAATCATGTAAATAAAAGAGGAGCCATTTGATTTTGGCCTTTGTTAAATTTCCCTGCCTGAAAGAAAAAAAATACATTCATGACTATTTTAGTGGTTAAAAACGGGAAGAGTTTTGATAAATTGAAACCCATCTGAGAATTCCGCAAAATCTCAAGCTCATGGATAGACTTCTTTAAATATAGCAGTCAAAAACTTTATCCTTATACTCAGCCAGAATGCGTTGTGCCAGAAAGCTCAGGAAAAATATGGTTTTCACAAGTTTCCCAGACTAGCTTCAGACAACATGAAATTTGGTCCAAGCTCTTATTTAAGGACTCTAAATAAAGATTAGATCTGGCTAGCTATTAATATTCAGAGATTTATTCTACTTTCTGTCAATATACATAATTATTTATTTGGGGGTAATGAAATAACTAAGAAAACAGTAGGCTTTATTCTTTAACTAATTCAGACTTTAAAATTTATAATTAATGTTAATGTGGGTTTGTTGAATTTTTTTGACTTATTAAAATAATATTTTAGTTGTGAATCTTTTTTGTATCTGTATTGCAACTCCGTTTAAAGGTATTAGATGAAAAATTAAAACAAATATACAGCCTTCATTGAATTTGTTATGGAATTTCCCCCTTATTGACTAACTTACCACCACTTCTAGGCATATGTCTACAAAAACAATATCTATTTGAAACAAAGACCAGGAGATCCACCTTTTCAAATAACATTTAATGGAAGAGAAAATAAAATATTTAATGGAATCCCAGACTGGGTTTACGAAGGTAAGCTATATTCCTTTCTTGTTGCTAATGCTTTAGGCTTTAATTTAAAATAATTTCATTTATTTAGTAAGATTTAGATGAGTGGTATCTTATTTTCAAGAAGGGTAGCATTGCTGCAAATTGTCACTAGGTTAGGGTTAGGGCATACATATTTTAAAAGAACAAATTCTTTTTATCAGAAAACTGGTAGAATTGATTTTCATTAACATTACTATGAAGTGGTAGTAATGATTTAAAATTCAAAAGATATATGGTTCTTAGGTACTGTATTAGTACATTTTTTCATGTTTAGTTTGTCTTCAGAAAACATTTTTTTTTTTTTCAAAACCAAACCACTGTCTATGTTATCTTGTGGGGAGATATTTTTACTTTCTGATACTCTGTTGATTTTGTCCTCATTCTAGATCATGTAGAATTCTGGACTTAACTGGACTTTAAAAAGACTTCTAGTATCTATCTATCTGTCTATCTATCTATCTATCTACCTACCTACCTATCAGGGAAATGCAACTTTTAATGTTTATGTCACTCTCTAGTACAATTATAGTTCTTACTGTTTTTGCTATTTTAGGTGACTAATAAAAACCAGAAGCTTTTCTGAAGGAAAACATGAATTATTGTCAACGTGTTCATTATTTATTTTAAAAGTTACATTTCTGATTAATTTCATATTCTAACAAGGCTGGTTGATGTTTGATATAGACTAAAAGGTTAAACTATTTGTCTTAACTCAGATTACGTGATTTTAAAATAACCAAAGTATGACATATGTCACATGCACTCAAATTATTTCAGTCAATAAATAGCTATTTAGAAGTATTTACAATGATTTTAGGAGTAAGATGTAATTATAGTTAATATGCTAGTACTTATTTTTCAGAGGAAATGCTTGCTACAAAATATGCTCTCTGGTGGTCTCCTAATGGAAAATTTTTGGCATATGTGGAATTTAATGATACAGATATACCAGTTATTGCCTATTCCTATTATGGTGATGGACAATATCCTAGAACAATAAATATTCCATACCCAAAGGTATGTTGAATACTTTCAGCAGATGCTTTCATTTTCCTGGTATCAAAATGAGCAATGATTTACCATGAGTGAAGGTGGGATCAACAAGTTTGGAGAGCTTCTTATCCTTGTGCATTGTAAGGCAAACATTGTACTGTGCTCTATTATTTATGTGGACATCTGTTGCTTTGGACATCTGGTTGTGCTGGATGAAGTAGACTTTGCAAAATCTATTGCAGAATCTTTGAAAAACATATGGTCTTGATCATGGAGGAAAAACAAGCTTAACTTAATTTTAATTTTTTTCATATTTCATGCTCCAAATTCAGGGTAAAGTTCTGTTTTGCAATTCTCTCTTGAATTCTCATGTAAATGCAAACTAGAATGAGAAATACAAATGTCGAATTTGATGTTCCTGTCAGGTAGAAGCAGGCATGGTTTATAGTTTTTTCTGGATATACAAGATAGGTTAAATTTGTAAGTCTCAATTTCTCCCTTGAAAGAATTAGACATGGTGTGAGCCCATAGTTTCTTGAATATTTAACATTGTAGAGTCGTTATACATTCTTTTTATTCTGTCTCACGTCTGGAGGGAGGAGACCTGAGTGTGCAGTAGGAGAATGATCAGGTCTCAGTGAAGAAGCAGCATATCCTAATTTCAATGTAAAAATGATATCAGAAAAAAAATGGAATCGAAGCACAAATTCACCTCCTGCACAAGGAATCGGATGTGATTTTAGAATTCATTCTTTGTTCTTCGGATCCTATTGCTTTTACTTGCCAAGGGGAACATTGTCATGGCTAGATACAGTGGGTCCCTGTGTGACAAAGATGGGTGGATGTGGCATATACACAAGTGAATTCTAAGCAAGCCAAAGTAGCCATAGAAAAAGAAATAGAATTGCAGATAGTCTAATGTTTATGTTAAAAGTCTAAAAGCTGTATAAAACCTCTAAAAACTGAAGATGTTTGGGAGAGGCCTGTCACTTCTGGGGGACCCAAGATGTGAAAGAACTCAGATCTTTGGGAGGATCTATGGGAGCAGGAAGAGATGGGGAACCCAGAACTGAAGAATGACTGATAATGATTGGGAAGTTGGGACCCACATTCTCCTGTTTCCTTGAGGCTTAAAGTAGCTAAAACATCTAGCATCGGATGAAGATGTGGGACAATTCCAAAGAACTACGGAAAGTCCCTGCTAAACTTGGGAATGAAACAGGGAGGTGCTAGGGAAGATTAAACAATTATTTAGATGAATTCAAACAGCACTGAGTCATTAAATACTGTGTACCTACATTTGATGAATTTAAATTTTATTACAACTGTAAGATTCTCTCTTTCTACAGCAAAATAACAGAGGAAGTCTAAGAAATTGTCTAGGTATGAGCTATACTCATGTAAATTTTAAGCATACAGTAGTATAGAAAGCAGAAAACAAGAAAAGTATAAATCTCATGGTACTTCATATAGAGGGGAAATTTCCCTAATCTTTTAGAGATGGTGGCAGTAATAATACAAGCAGGTAGGAGACTGAGCATTTGGTGATCGTCCTAGACCAAATCATATGACAAAAGCAAAAGGTGTCTTTCATTTATTTTTCCTTTCCATTCTCCTTCCAAATTAATCCCCCTCTAAACTCTTCTTGGCATTCAGAGATATGATTATTATTATAATTATCCAATAATTAAAACGAGAGAGAGATCTGTCTTGGAAATCAGAAAAGAGAATACAGATCATAAAACCGCAATTACATATCAAAAATGATTTTCCCTATAAATTAAAGCTCTCTCATTAGACATTTAAAATATCTATTTTCACTCTGGTTGAAACATTTGTAATTGCCCTGCAAGTAAAATTGAAATAAAATCCCTGGTCATGCTACAAATAGAATGTATTCCACTGTGATGTATGTAATATTATTAGATTAGAAAAATATGTCTAAATTCCTAAAGTTTCTTTAAAATGTTGGTGGTACTTGAAATTTTATGAGCTTATATATCTTAACTTTTTTGACAGGCTGGAGCGAAGAATCCTGTTGTTCGGGTATTTATTATTGATACCACTTACCCTGAATATGTAGGTCCCCAGGAAGTGCCTGTTCCGGCAATGATAGCCTCAAGGTAAATCATCTCAGATCCCTCCCATCTTTCTAGTCTATATTCTAGTGAGTTTATGCTATGCATGCTAGAAGGAAAAAGAAATAAGTGAATAAAAGTTGCATACAGTACAAAGCTAAAGATATACAAAATTAAAATTGACAAATAAGTTTCCTTAATTGGCTTTTCAAAATTAGTCCTTTCACACACATAAACATGATCTCAGTAATCATTCTAAGTGAAACTTTCCTCAGATGTACATATGTGAACTTGGGACCAAGAAGCAGATAGTAAAATACATGTATGTCCTCACCTGGGCTTCTTTCAAGTTTGACTGACTTTATCTCAAGCCAGGGTTTGTGGATCTATGTGAATCACATGTGTATGATAAATAAGAGAAGATAAGGTAACCCTCTCTAAAAATTAGCATTTTTCACTGTGAAGCAGGCTATTCTCATTTATCTGGTTTTAGAATTGTCTAGAGATGAACTGTAGGCAGGCAGGGACGTGAAGCATTCTCACTTCCCCAGCATGATGCCCTATGTCTGATTGTCTGATTAGTCCAGATTATAGCAACCTTCAGTCAGTCATCTGTGGTCTTTCTGGTTAAAGTGGATAAAAGGAAGAGGGGCCCAAGCCCTGCATGCTGGGCTTTCTTAACACTTCCCAATGCCTAGCAGGCCAAGTTTGGGTCTTTTTCTCCTGCCTCATGAAGAATAACCAGGATCAAATGACTGATCACTAATAGGGACAAGAACCCCATGGAGGCCTCTACTGGGCCTTGCTAAGATGAGTCCACTCTTGTATAATCCAACATGACTTTAGGTTTTTGAATTATCTGCTATTCCCCATTCTGATACAGTCGATGAAAACTTGACTCAATACATCATTTTTTTTAAAGTGTCATTCTCCATAGGTGGCAAATGAAATAAGCGTAACACAAGGAGTCCAGAGGCTTGTTTAAACAGCTACAAAATACTAACAATAAAATAGTGGTAACAAACATGTTCTGAACACTCATCATGTGGCAGACATAGTTCACAAGTGGTTTAAGCACTCTCGGCCAATGTTTACAGCAATCTTTAAAATAGGTAGTATTAATCTCATTTTATGAAAAACTACAATAGTTAAGTAACTGGCCTAAAGGCATATAACTATTAGGACATGAAACCAGGATTTGAGCCTGAGACCCCTTCCGGATCTGTGATTTCCCTTACATCGATATTCCAGAATTATGTGATTCATTTTATGCTGATGTTTTCTAGCTACACGTTCATCCTTAGAATCATATAATCATTGCTGCCATTCACTGACATCTAGTATGTGCCAAACCCTATTTGAGTTATTTTGCATATATTACCTGTGATTTATTCCACAAGCCTAAATTTCAATACCTGACCTCACAGCTAAAACTTAGCTTCCAATATGAATTTGCCTGGAGACAAAGACTGTCTTTTTATCACACTTCTCTCTCTCTCAACTAATTAAAAGGTGAAAAATTGAGTTGACTTGTGCAAAATAGCCAGCTTATTGCATTTTTACCCCTCTAGATTAAGCAGTAGCTTTGGCATTATGTTTTAAATTGTTTTCTAAGACGTTAAAATCCAGAAATGGGAAGAAAACCCATATATGAAATAATTTCATTAGATGAAGAAACTCTCATAGATAATTTTTAAGTAAGTAGATATATTTAAACTTTCTCTCCGGAGGAAGGAAAGTTTTGTCTTTCTTATCTATTAAATAAATATGATATCATAATGAAATATATCCTTTAGAAAACAAAAATTAAGAAATTATTTGTGTATGAAACTGGTTTATGCTTGTGACTGTTTCTATTTTATTTGCAGTGACTATTATTTCAGTTGGCTCACCTGGGTTACTGATGAACGCGTATGTTTGCAGTGGCTAAAAAGAATCCAGAATGTTTCAGTCTTGTCTATATGTGATTTCAGGGAAGACTGGCAGATATGGGATTGTCCAAAGGTAGGATATATTAAGGTCACAGATATGTATTTCTGAAGATCAGAGCACAATAGTCGGGACTCATTTATAGCTAACATTTTATGCTGTAAAGCCAGGATTGCTGCATTCAACTCTCAACTGCTTTGCAAAAAAGCACTCTATTCACGGGTCCATCATTTTGTTAAATAAATAGGATACCTTTTATTTTCTTGAATGACTTAAACTTTGAAATTGAATACCTAAAAAGAAAAAATGGGACAACATGACACTGGGAAAATCAGATATCGGTTCTCAATTATCGTGATAAATCAGCCTTTTGAGATTATAACATTGACACTCCAATAAAAAGCAAAATAATGCGGATGAAACCATTACATGGATCTACTAGGGAAATACATATGTTTTAAACAAAAGAACCAGAGAAGAAATGCAAATGGGGCATGTTCTATTCATTGTTAAAAATTTTAAATGAAAAATTCTAAAGGAAATGGATATTATCAAAAGAAAGCCAAATATGCTGATTTTTTTTTTTTTTTTTTTTTTTAGATGGTGTCTTGCTCTTTCACCAGGCTAAAGTACAGTGATGTGATCTCAGCTCACTGCAACCTCTGCCTCCCAGGTTCAAGTGATTCTCCTGCCTTAGCCTCCTAAGTAGCTGGGACTACAGGTGCCTGCCACCACACCCAACTAATTTTTGTATTTTTATAGAGATGGGGTTTCACCGTGTTGGCCAGGATGGTCTCAATCTCTTGATCTCGGGATCCACTCGCCTCAGCCTCCCAAAGTGCTGGGAATACAGGCCTGAGCCACAGTGCCTGGCCCAAATATTCTGATTTTAAAATCAAATGAGAATTACTGAGAACATGACATATATTAGATCAAATTATTCTGTTATCTTGTTATCTTAGGATAGTACCCCTTATGTACTAATTTTGGGCAGAAAAAGGCTTGAAAACTAAGCACAGATTTATTGTTGAGCTTTAATTGTTTCTGTTGCTCAAATTCAAACGTAATCTGTTGAATTAATGAGTCAGAAAAACCGCTTAACCAATACATAAGCTTTAAAATAGGCCTGTTCTTAATTACTCATATTAGAGTCTGAGAGATACAAAATGTTTTCTTCAAATAGGAAATTTGATGGGTACATTACATGAGACTTCTAATTATGAAGAAATGTTTCATTAAAACAAACATAGAACAATCATATTTCATAAAGTAATAGGAAAAGCGCAGAACAATAAAAGTAAATCACTAAATTTCATCTAGAAATTAGGACATTATGTTTTGCAAGAAAAAAGTCATATGAGCCTGTTTGGAAATATATCAGGATTATAATAGTCAACATTACTCTGGCTAAAAATAGTTTTTTAAATCACTACTGTGTCTGTGAGAGGCTTGAGTAATTTTGATGGAATATGCTGGAAGCGTATTTTTATCTTATATATATTTTGATATACAAAGCAGAAAGATTTTGGCTTTAATGCAGTATCATAGGCAAAGAAAGGATAGACTAATCTTGATTATACTAGTTAATTAGATTAGTCAGCTTTGTGTGACTATGTCTTTAAACTTTTCAATAAATCTAGGTATTAGGGACTATTGCTTTAATTTTATTAGTTTGAACATGATAAGATTTATAATTTAGACACAATTTTTAGCTCCTAAAACTAGGAATTTTAAAACTGTGATTGCTTTGAAATCTGAAATTCTAATTTATCAAAATCTGAGACAACTTTAATCCAAACTGACAGAACATTTAAGATGCTCATTCAATGAGGTGTGGAAGTCCCTGGAATATAAACTTTAGTTTTACAGCCAGAAAACAGTGCTTAAATTTAGAATATCATGTTTGAATAACCTTAGAATTTCTAAACACCTCTGTTTCAAAATAGTTTGATAAATGCATGCAACACATTTTTAGATTTGAGAACAACAGTGTTGAATTTCCCAGAAACCATCCTCATGACTGATGTGTGCGTGTGCGTGTGTGTATGTGTGTGTGTCTGTGTGTGTGTATGCATGTGTACAGGCACACACTTTGAAAACAATATTTAAGGTTAAGTGACCCAGCAACATTTTATTCATGCTGAGAGTCATGCCCAAAACAAAGAGGCAAAGGAAACTGGCAACAGTTACTTGTAATAAAATTACATTAGTGAGATTTACCAAGAAATTTATAGTTAGGGAATGAAAGATCTTTTATATTATGCTTCCTCCTCTGAAAAGGGAATTAAAATTAATTTTACTTTTATGGCTAAAAATAATAAATCAAAAAAGTTTCACTATTTTTTCCAAGTCTCATCTTACTTGTTCCCTCTGAGGCATTGGCCTATTCCTGTAAGAGAAAATCCAGACTGTGCTCTTAAAATTTGTATTCCCCTACCTTTTATGACAGTACACCCTGTCATGGTTCTCCTTCTGCTTCATTGACTGTTCTTTTCCTTTCCAGCTCTTCTTCTGACTTCTCTAGAAATCTTATTATTCTCCAAGTTAATGTATTTGCAAGGTAGGCTCACTGCTATAACAACAACTATAAAAAACCTCCAATAATTCAGTGGGTTAATACAGTAGAAATTTGTTGCACATTCATGTAACCATCCAATAGTGAGTCCAGGTAAGTGGGGTGTGGTGAGGGATGGGGAATGGGGTACTCTGCTCCATATAGTCATTCAGGAACCCAGGTGATGACATTTCTGCTAACTGGCTTCTAACACTATTCCAAAGTTTGTCAAACCTGAGCATCAACATCCAGCTGAGGCATGGAGAAAACAATGAAAAATAATGTATGTGAGGCTTTTATGGAGTAGGTCTAAAAGTAGCATGAGGTATTCCTGCTCACACACCATTAACTAGAACTTATCAAATAACCACAGTCAACTGAAGGAAGGCTGGGAAATACATTTCATAGCTGTGTCCCTAGCAAAAATAGGAAATGGTCTGCTGATTATCCTGCTGTCTGTCTCAACTCTGTATTCATTCACTTTGGGTAATTTTAATCTTTACCAGAGCTTTATATTATACTTGCCAGTAACTCTCAGACTTATTGCTGAGGATTTGAACTTTTCAATATGTGTGGCTACATTTTCTCTGTTCCATTCTCACTGCCATGAGCTTGCTTAGAGTCTTGATTAGAGCTTGATTAGAATCATTCTTTTCTCAAACATTACAATAGCCTTCCAGTTGGTCCCTCTGCCTACTTCCATCTTACCCACTTTGAATTTATCCGCTGTATCATGTTCATAATTACATTTTCCAAATTGTGAATTGGAAGACCTTCAAAAGATTTACCAAGTAGGAGAAATTGAAGCTTCTTAGGCTACCATAAAGCTTCTCCAAGATCTTGCTGATAAATATGCATTCTTCTTCGTCTTCTAACTCTTTCCTGTAGTCACTCTCCACTTAGCCATACTGAGCCATCTGTTGGGTGACTAAGCTAGTCTGGTCTCTATGCTATTTACTTTACCTATAATGTTCTTCCTTTTCTAATTATTTATCTAGAAAAGTCTATTCATTTTTTTTAGGATTACTAAATATTTATTTAGTAAATAATCAGTTTTATTATGCTAAGATATAACCCAAACTAAGATTCAGTGCAAATTTTAAAATTTTGGCTACTTCATAAGACCCAGAACAGAAAGAATTTAACCTAAACTCCATTGTTTTACCTACACCACATCAAGTGGATTGTGCCAGGCCTCCATAGATGTGATAATTCCAAGTCATTGCCTCATGGAAGATTTAAGCATAAATATTAAAGATCTGCAAGAAAATTACCCATGTGTATACAACAGGGCTGTTACATGAGATTTTTAATGTTGTCCTCTTAAACTCAAATTTGAAGTTAGTTGACTAGTAATGGTACACTTTGCTCAGGCAGCTTAACTGTTTCCAAATGTCCAGATTATATTTAGGAATAAAACATGTTCTAATACTATGTTTGATGTGATCTTTTGTCTTTTAGGCACAAGAGCATATAGAAGAAAGCAGAACTGGATGGGCTGGTGGAGTATGATTTTGTTATCTTTTTCTTTGAACTTCACATTCTCAGCTATCAAAGGACTATTTGCAATATGCCCAACTGGCACTATTTGTTTTCATAGAGAAAAATATCAAAATAAAAAACACATAGGTAGTGATCTCTTGAGTGATTTTGTGCTAGACAATTTCAATATTCATCTTTTTAGAATTCTATCGAAAATAACTCATATTCCTCATGTCCCAATTTTAAGTTTGTCAACTGAATCCTTGATATCTATAACTAATATTACTTTTTAAAGTAATACAATATAGATCATTTTTCAAAATGAAACACAACCCCTGATATGGTAAAATATTTACTAGCCATTTGAATCCAAGAAAAATAAACACATTGGTTATCCTTGTAATTTAAAGACAATCTACCTCTTCTCAAATTTCATATAACATGTACCAAAGTTCATATATGTATACTCTTTCCAGTATTTAGATAATGATTTGGTATCAAATGGGAAAATGTGTGTTTTGTTATTTGTGATCATTTGTGTTTGGAAGTTTAGGATAAGTTTATCCAATAATTTATGGGGATTTTTAATGTAAAATCATGTTTTAGGTAATAGCAATTGTACTCTACATAGTATATAAAGAATAAAAATTAAGACAAGAAAATGAGTGAAGATTGGTAGATGCTGCCACTTTCCACAAACATGTAATTCAATTCAATTAGTATTTGAAGAGGAAAGGCTACTTCTCTAAGTTTTGTACACATTATGTGATGAAAAAGGAAACTCTTAGGATCTGTTTTAACACATTAGCCCTTGATCCAAGGACAATAAAAAATTCAGAAATCAATGCTAAGATGATAAATTATATAAAAATTTACACCTAAATTGGCTAGGAAGAAGATAAATTGTAAAGTGACAATCTTCAAATATTAAAAACTCTTCATTGTACACTTTTTTGTATCCAGTGATTTTGGCTTACATGCTATTGAATGTATGCTTTGTCTTTAATTAAAATACCTCTGTTTTATTCATTAACTAGGGGATAGTTACTTTATTTATTGTATACAGTAAATGTAAATTACATTCTGAGGTAACAAGATAATAAAGATAAGTATGTAATTCAGAAAAAAAAAAAATTCTTCTATTTAAATTCACTTTTCCTACTGTCCTATACAGCACAGGAAAAAATAGTAGTGTTCAGTGAAAGAAAAGTATTCTCTAAATTTTATGGATTCTTAATCAGTCTGAATCTTATCTTTTAGAAAGATAATTCTTAGATTGGTATTTGAAATTTTGAGAAAATAAATTAATCTACCAGTTCACTTACACTACAAAGATTTCTAGTAAAGAATAAAGGGAAGCGAGAATGCTTGAAAATATTCTTTAGTTATGTTCTCCAAGATGACAATATAACTAGATTTACTGTACAGTTACATGAATAATGTAATTTTACAATTAGATCAACAATAATACCAAAAACCCTTTCAAAGACATTATTTAGAGCCTCTATATACATTTATTTTGAAAATGCTGCAGTGTTCAAAACACTCCAAAACATTTTAGAATGCATCTTTTGAAAGCTCCTATTTATAAACATCTTGAGGTCAATTATATCTTAATAATTTAAAAAATCTGTATTGCACCAACCTTGCATTCTCATCAGACTAAACTGAATGAATGAATGAATTGCCTGCAGAGCTGTAGAACTTTTAAGAAAAATACCTATCCTCAGTGGAGGCACATATGTCTCCTTTAAAAGAAAATGAGGTCCTTACATTAAATCAAAAGTCATTCCCAACTAAATCTAGAGAGTAAATGAGTTATTTATCTGGGACATGTGATTTTGTGCCAGATCATTTTAATATTCATAGTTTTATAATTCTATTGGGAGCAACTTATTTTAATGTACTAATCTCAATTTCTTAACATCTATCCAGTAGTCAGTAAAACTTCTAAATTTCAGAAAAGGAAATATCGAAAATTATTTGCAATGATCATTGTCAAGAGTAAGTTTACATCCTCCCAACACATTATCTTTAAATGAATTATTAATTAACTTTTGTAAGTTCTGACTTGCCTTTTGAAAAAGTCTGGCCACAATTTTTATAGCCATAACTCATATATCATAATACATTGTATATTGAATAGCTCCCTTTGACCTATAATCAAACTAGTGACTTAATAAAATTAAGCAGAAAAAAAAACTAGAAATGTGTATGTATTTCAGACATTCATTCAAGTAACAGTTATAAGGTTTTAGTTAAAACATACAGGATAGTCATATTAGTATAAATTTTAAAAGCTATTTTTGATATGTGGTTTCTTTTGCATTTGTGAAAGATATTTAAAATGAAAAAAGACTCTCAGAAATCACCTATGAATTATAAAAGGGACATTAAATGACTGGCTAAAAGTAACTGATCTGTTAGTTGCAGGCTTAGAACTAGCAAATAGGTTTCTGAGGGCTTAACTTACCACTTTTTTCCTCCAATACTGACATATCCAGTCTCTTAATTTAGGATTAATAACCTAACTTCTTTTTGGTATTCAATCAGGAAAAATAACAACAAATTTGCTTTTAGAACATTGTTTTTGGCCTGGTGCTGTGGCTCCCGCCTGTAACCCCAACACTTTGGGAGGTCAAGGTGGGTGGATCACAAGGCCTGGAGATCAAGACCAGCCTGACCAACACGTTGAAACCCTGTCTCTACTAAAAATACAAAAATTAGCCAGGCATGGTGGAGTGCACCTGTAATCCCAGTTCTCAGGAGGCTGAGGCAGGAGAATCGCTTAAACCCAGGAGGCAGAGGTTGCAGTGAGCCAAGATCGCACCACTGCGCTCCAGCTTGGGTAACAGAGCAAGACTCCATCTCAAAGCAAAACAACAACAACAATAAAACAAAAAACATGTTTTTGTTTTTTCTTTTGCCCTGTAAAGAACAGACAGAAAAGTGAAAAGTTAATCAAAGGAAGCTTTTACTTAATTCCTTAAATTTGAAAAATGGGCACTGAAGGCGTTATGCTTAGACTGCAAAGTCTCACCAATTGTTTTAAAATAATTTAAGCAATACACTACACCTTCTTTAGTTGGCAGGAAAAATCCCTTGGTTAAAAAAAAATGAATTTTCTTCTTGATGCTTGAAAGCTTGTGCTTTTGACCAAGTGTTCACTCGGTTTAGGGAATCAGCTTTAGGTCATTTAACAGTTATAGCAAGATATTCCATGGAGGTAAATAATCTCATCTTCCAAGTAAAGTATTTTAAATGGCTTTGCACTTCATAAAGAGATGAGTAATCTATCAGGAAATCTAAGCTTGATAAAGAAACCAGTGTATGGGCTTTGTTAAAACTGAGGAGAACTTAGTGTGCATGCTTATCTAGGGTCCAGGTGTGACTTACAAGAAGCACTTAACTTGGAACACATTATGGGCCTAGCTCTAGCAAAATGCATATGGAAATATTTCACACTCTCTTTACTTCACCCGAGCTACCTGTTCATCTAAAGCAGCTGTCTTCAATGTGTGCAATGAAAGGGGAGAAGATAACAGTCTGCTTATCAGAAATATTCTTCCTGTTTGCCTAATATTTTAAAACATAACACTCTGCCCTGTATTTTTTTCTTTTCAATAAAAATTAAATGTTAAGTTTTAATCTAGAACAAAGCTCCTTTAAAAGTCCCTTAACTTAACTGACTGCAGGCTTGCATACAATTTTTTTTTAATGTGGTACCTTAAAAAATTATGTGATTCAGGTTTTATTTTAGTGATTAAGGCAATATAGAACCAAGTTTTGTGTTTCACAGTGAAGAATAAGAAGGAGACATAGGCTGGGTGTGGTGGCTCACACCTGTAATCCCAGCACTTTGGGAGGCCAAGGTGGGTGGATCAACTGAGGTCAGGAGTTCAAGACCAGCCTGACCAACATGGTGAAACCCCATCTCTACTAAAAATATAAAATTAGCCGGGTCTGGTAGTGCATGCCTGTAACCCAACTACTTGGGGGGCAGAGTCAGGAGAATCTCTTGAACCTGGGAGATGGAGGTTGTGATGAGCCGAGATCATGCCATTTGCACTCCAGCCTGGGCAACAAGAGTGAAATTCCATTATAAAAAAAAAAGAAGGAGACATTATAAGAGGTTACTAATAAGTATGTATATTATCATTTAGCTAAGAGGGTGAAACTTCATTCTGAAATGAGAGGATTTTATTAAAGACTTATAGTAATAAAATTCTACCCACAAAATTGCTAATCAGAATTTCCTATTCCTGGGCCTCTTGGTTATTAATTTCATTAGGAAGTATTAGTCTCGATATGCAAAATCCTACCAAGGTTGGTCTTATTATTAATGAAACTAATGTAGGAATCATGTAAGGAGGCAGCTGTTTCTCATTATTCCTTTTGTTTCATTTTAAAGAAAAACTTTAGACAAGTTAAATGTAGTTGAGTTTATTTGAACAAAAACAACTCATAAATCAGGCAGCACTCAGAACCAGAAGAGGTTCCGAGAGCTCTGCCCAGCAATGTGAGCAGCCAGCTTTTATAGGCCAAACACAGAAGCAAGGTAGATAAATCCCTGGTTGATTATAGCTAGGGGCTCACCTTATTGGGTCATAGAGTGATGAGGCATCTACCTTATTTGGATGTGGTGTGAGATGATGCCTGTCTATGATTGGCTGGAACCCTGTTTACTGGACTTGTGGTTAGGTTTTGGTTTGTATATACTAACGTTGTGTTTCATTATATAGGAACTCAAATTATAAAAACAGCCTCAGATAAATGCCCTCCTATTCATTTGATTTAACTGATTTATGGATTCTAGGTAAATGTGGTAAGACTTGGGGCATGGTATTAGTTTCCTTGGGCTGCTATAAGTTATGGCAAATTTGGTGGCTTAAAACAATATAAATTTATTCTGTCACGATTCTGAAAGCTGGAAGTCTGAAATCATGGTGTCAGCAGAGCTTTGCTCCCTATGAAGGCTCAAGAGAAGAATCCTTCCTTGTCTCTTCCAGCTTCTGATGGCTCCTAGAAATCCCTTGGCATTCTCTGGTTCATAGCTGTATCACTCTAACCCCTGCTTCTGTCTTCAGATAGTCTTCCCTGTATCTCTCAGTGTCCTCCCCTCCTATGAGGACACCAGTCATTAGATTTAGGGCCCACTCTAATCCAGTACAAGCACATGTTTGATTCCTACTTTGATACATCTGGAAAGATTCCTTTTCCAAATAGGGCCACATTCCGTGGCTCCAAGTGGACATGAATTTTGGGGGAACTTAGTCCATTACAGATATCACATCGAATTAGTTGCATTTTAATGTCATACAATTATAATTATTTCATGAAAAATAAGATCAATTGTATCAAAAAGGCATCAAATATGGGGTCATCAGTGACTTCCTCCACTCTCTTCTTGCTCCAAATGGGTCCCACGCTATGTCTCAGCAGGATAGGTATTTGTAGCTAAAAGATACTGGTAACTTTTAGTTGTGGTACTTGATGCAGTTCTCATCTGGAGGGACACCAACTAGAAAGAGCTGGCTTTAAATCTCCTCTGCATGATGTAGAGTAGCTGTTTCCTCATGTAATTCTTTTAATGATTTGCCATCATTTCACCAAACAATGACCAATGGGGTAAAAAAGTCAGCAAATCTAAGACAAGTCAATTAATTTTTTAATGGGAGAAATATGAAGCTATTTTCTGAAGTTTGGTGTAAGAACATTTGCAGAATTAAAGTTATATTTACTATTTAGAATGTTAAGATGTGGCTCTTTCTGTTTTAAGGCACACTAGAGCCTAGCATGCCTTAGGTAGTTAAGTGGTTCCCAGCAAGTTCTGCATGGAGTTACCTGTTAAGAGGTCAAACTGGAGCATTGAGGTCAGTCCACAGTCTTCTACCTGCACTCAAGGAGTAAACCTCCCCCAACATAGGCAACCTTTTTTTCTCAAGTCCAGAAGCCCCTCCTCACCATTAAAAACTGTGGCTAGCAAGCCATGATCTTTTAATCTTTAAAATGTCTTCATTGAATCATTGGCATTAGGTGCTTGGCATCAGACAAATCAAGGATTAAAAGAGGTATAAGTCTTAATGAGCATCACACTATGGTCAAATACCTCATTTTAAAGTGTGGTTTGGTTAAATATCAACATTTATTTGTGATTATTTTACCTCTGTTTCAAACCACATAAATTTCAACTTCGAAATTTAATCAAATTAAACATTATAAATCCAAGGGAATACAGTAGCGACCAAGCAGTGATTGGCATGTTCAAGTGCCTGTTAGAATCACTACATACGCTGTTTATCTGAAAGAATGGGATTTCAGATGTGAATGACAGAAGACAGGGGAGTCAAGACATTCTGATTTCTATAACTATGACCATACATCGCTTTTATATATTAAAAAAAAAAAATCTACGGTTTAAGTTTGGTTTGTCTTTTGAATATAACCTCTGTTAATTTTTTTCAGTTCTTTGTTTCAACACCAGTTTTCAGCTATGATGCCATTTCATACTACAAAATATTTAGCGACAAGGATGGCTACAAACATATTCACTATATCAAAGACACTGTGGTACGTTCCTTCCAAGATTTATCTCCTCAAAGATCATTCACTTGAGGTTGCTCAAATAACGCTCAGTTTCACACAACATAATGTTTGTCTTTTTATAGGAAAATGCTATTCAAATTACAAGTGGCAAGTGGGAGGCCATAAATATATTCAGAGTAACACAGGATTCACTGTAAGTATTGCACGAAGCGCGATGCACCATTCAGGTTTTAATTGGCACCGATGGACGTAAATGATACTGTACCAACTCTCTTAGTTGAGAAGATTTTTGTTACTCTATAATTCAGACAGTTGTGAGTTCATTTATGATTGTACATTTTAAAATAACTAGTCGAAATGATTTCCTTTTGGAAAAAAAGTCTTCAGTAGGTGATAATTTCTTCTCTGATACTTGGTAGGTGATTATATAAAAAGTATATCATTTTAAAATAATAACTGGCTCTAAAGGCAAATTTTACTCTTCACCACTTGAAGCAATGAGCAAGTTTCAAAATTCCCTGGAGGGCAGCCCATAGATATGGAGCATCTTTTGTAGTGATTCATTGTTATATAAGTTTAACATTATTATTTATAACAGCTATCATTTATGGAGCAATTACGGTGTACCAGATACTGTAAAGTAGAAATGATTATCCTAAGTTTGTAGATGAGAAAAGGGATACTCATAAAATTTAATTAACTTGGCCAAAGGCCACAGTTAGTTAGTAGCAGCCTAAGATTCAATTCTAAAGCATTAAATCTAAGGCTGTTATTATTAACCTCAACAGGGGACTGCTTTCTCACAGTTCTTTCCTCTTTAGTCCATTCCGCATACTATCTAAATAAACCATCTTCAAATAATCATTTATGATGAAACTTCTCTAATCCCCAAAGTATACTTTCTATCATTTCGAATCGCCTGCATCTAGGAGTCCTCTCTTAGCGTTCAAAATCTGCCAGCTATTAACTGGAATTCTGGGAACAAAAGGTGAAGACCATTAGTCCAGACTCATGGGATAAAAGCTTTTCAGAAGTCTATTGCCAATCTTCGGAATTCTTTGAATGAAAGGCAAAGGTGTCTGGACATTCTTTGGAGCAGCCATTAAAATCACTAGAGTAAAGGGGAGTGACATGTTCAAAACAGGAGGAAGATTCATCTCAGGCATAATGTGTTGAGGAAGTGGGGAAAAACTGAAGGTGGAGAGCCCCAGTTCTGGTCATAAGAGGTGTGAACTAGAATAGTGGCAATGCAGTAGATGCTCTGAAGACAAAACTGCACCTCCTTCTTTGTTTGCATCCGTAGCACGGCACCTGACACAGAGGAGTTCAATACATACTCTCTAGAAATGGAAGAGAGAATGGGGTAGATGGTAAAAACAGATGGAGGCTAAACAGGACTGGCAAAGCAAGACTGTGAAGGAAAAGAGAGCGAAAAGAGGGAAACTGGACTCCACTGCAAGGGTTAGAAAGGGAGACAATCAGGGAAGCTTCTACATAACAAGGAAGCAGCAGGGGGATATTGGAGAAAGATCCTGAGTCCTTTTTTCACAGGTAGTTTGAGATGATGTGGGGAAGGCAAGGGAAAGTGACGATGGGAGTCATGCGAAGTTAGTAAAGATGCATAGAAAGATGTTAGTTTAGGAGATACATTTGGTACTATAAATGAGTTTTATTCCATTGCTTTTTTCTTTTACTTGGTGCTAATAAGATTTTCATGGTATCTAGGATGCAATGAGAACTGGACTGCCTAATTGTCCTGAGATTTAAACCAAACTTCGGTTATTCCAAACTTTTCACATTCCTGGGGGCGAAATCACTGTTTCTGATACTCAGATGTACACACAGCAGAGTGAAAAACGTGTCATGAAACTGTATTTCCCACTTCACAGCTATTTTAAGACAGATTAGAATCAGAACCTGGATACTTAAGTAGCAAACGTGTTCTCCCATGACTTGTTTTGCATCTGGCTAAATGTACATGCCCTGTGTGTGGTATCCAGTGTGATATCCTCGATTAGTAGCCGACCTGTCTATTGACAGGGCTTCTATAAAATGAATTCCAGGTGCACTCAGAATCACAGATAAAATCAAATAATACAGTACAGATTAACAAGTAAATTGTTAATTAATTAAACTAGTTAATTAAACTGTTCTTAATCATGGAAAAGACAAGGTGCGATATTAATCAAATGTCTTAGTTTATTTTGCATGTCTCATAATGAATCAGAATATAATATACCTATAATAAAAAGAATATCAGCATAATTTGATCCTCTGCTGATGATTTGGAAGTCAGAATAAGTAACAAAGTTTAGTTATGAATGGCAGTTATTTGTGTACCTAAGCACCAATTAACAAATAGCTTAATTAGATGAATGCTTATCTATGTTAATATATTAGTAACAATCATATTATCACTTATTTATCAACACTTAATAATTTCTGAATATATTTTCAGGTTTTATTCCAGCAATGAATTTGAAGATTACCCTGGAAGAAGAAATATCTATAGGTAATTTATATCCATTCATTCTGATATTTCTATATGTTTATATTTTAATATTAAAAGTCATCATCTCCAGGAGATGGAAAATATTTTTAAAGTGTGGGATGTAATAAAAATCATTTATGAACTGAGAGGAAACATTTGGAGAATGTTGTATACTACATCAGTATTAAAAACACACACTCTCAAAATGTTAGCCAATTCAAAATATTTGTTTTCAAATGGATAAAACAAGGAATTTGAATGCTCATCTACATGCTAAATACTATTTTGGTACTAAACACTTTAACTACATGTAGAGGTAATTGAGGGCATTTCTTTATTGAACACACATTTATTGAATACCTAGTATGAACCAGGCATTGTTTTTGTTCTTACAATATGTCATTTCCTTTACTGTGGCTCACTTTGGCATAACTCATCTCCATTCCTTTATTAGGGTTTAAGTTTAGTCCAGCTGTCCCCTTGATGATTTAAATGGTGCCCTCGACAGCCCTTTGTGGATGTGGAAAGAAAAACAATAGTTACTACATGCTGATAGTCTATTATATGCCAGGCACCTTTTAATCTGACTTACCTATGTAACTTCATTTAATTCCTACAGCACTAGGAGGCAGGTAATGCTGTTGAAGCTAGGATTTGTACCTGGGCATGCTGATCTCTGAGTCCTTGCGCTTAACTACCTCCCTGATGTTTCCAAGGTCACACCCAAATGAGGACATATGCCAGCATACTAACCCTAACAGAGGAAATGCGAAATGAGAAAATAAGAAATTTTCCCTCTGTCATATTTCTTCGTTCCCTCCTGGATCGTGATCTTACTTTATGTGTTAAGAGGAGTCACTCTCTGGGTCCAGCAATGTGTCTGGCCTGGCCACCCTCTGCCATGCCCAAGGCAAAGTCAGGGACAACAGCAAAAGAAACTCAGAGGTGGCACAAGAAACCCTGACAGCTACCAGAGGTCCTGACCTGCCCAGACCCTGGCATGACATCATCTAAACTCCTCCACATGGAATTCTGATTCTGAGGGTATGGGATAAGGTCCCTGAGTCTGTGTATTAAAGCCAATCAATCACCCTGTTCAGAAACCACACAGATGGCTCTGCAGGGTGAATGTGGGGCCAATGTGGGCCATGCAGATTGGCTTGTGTAGACTGTGTGGAGGGGGCATTCCCAATCTGAGCTTCCATGAGCCCAAATTTCCTACTGAAAGGAATGAAGGCACAGAAGGCACTTAGAACTGTGATTTCTTGTTTCCAATTTGCTTATTATTAATTTCCCCTTCCTGATGTATGGTAAGAACAGGGACTCTTTCTTGGTAATACTGCCAGTTTTTCCTTGTATGTTTTGCCATGGGGTGGGAAAAGAGAGATAAGAAGATGAAGAACTATGCATTCGCAAGCACTTTGTGAAGAGTAAGACTTGAATGGTTATGGGAAGTGAATACCTCACTGCCATTTGAGGTGTTAGATATTTCTCCCACTCCAGGGAAACCACATAGGGCTTCTTCCTCAAGGTTTGTGCCTATTAAGGCAAAGATGGATCAAAAATCAAGCTACATCAAAATACTGTAATTCCCCTTTACTTTAAATGATATTGGCAACAGAAAAATAGAGTGGGTTTGATGTCAATATGTAAATTAGTCACTTTACATGGAGTAGTACATTTTGATAAATACAATCTCAAAATTTCAGCTTAGTTTTATTTTCATTTCCCTCTAGAATTAGCATTGGAAGCTATCCTCCAAGCAAGAAGTGTGTTACTTGCCATCTAAGGAAAGAAAGGTGCCAATATTACACAGCAAGTTTCAGCGACTACGCCAAGTACTATGCACTTATCTGCTATGGTAGGTAACGGACCTCACATAAGCGTACCATCCCCATGGCCACTGTTGTCATCCTCATCACCTCTATCTGATCAATTCTTAGCTACAGTTAACGAGCACCTGTTATATGTAACAATCTTATCTTGTGCTTGGGGAAAAAAAAATGAAGGGATGATAGGAAGGCATTATTATCTTCACTTTTTTGCAACTGGGGAAACAGAGCTTGGGGGAACAGAGCAATGTGCCAAATGTCCACACTGCTGCTAAGCACCAGCCAGGATTAAAGCAAGGGTCTGTTGCCTCTAAGTCCCATGCTCTTAACCACCACATTCTGCAGCACTAAGATTGCATGCAGAGGCAACCTACCAGCTAGCCTTGGCAGGATTTGAGCAACAGCAGAAAAACAAGTGTTCTCTGATAAAATGGTGGCTGGACTTTCGGCCCCACTTGCCCAGAGAAACGTCAAACCCTCACAACCCCGGGAATGAACAATGGCTTAGAAACCTGAGATCCCCACCTCAGAGGTCAGTCAGTCTTAAACTGTAGTTTCAGTAGGGATAGAAAATGAACGTTTGTCACTCAGTTTGCCCATTCTAAATTTGGAAAACATTGTTAGCAATGGATTCAAATATAAAAACCCATAGGTAATAAAACACAGAAAACATTTCCTGATTGTTTAGGTTATATGTACATTTAATGAATAATTTCTACCCATATAATTTTATTTTATGCACAAGCTTTTATCTATATCTTGAGCATCTGGCAAACAATAAAACAGGTTAGGTTAAGAGGCCAATATAGATCAGTGAAATATATTGGGGTCTAAGTAGTCATTATGGGGACTTGGGAATCGCTAATTCTCCAATCTCTGTCACTTCCCCCCAGCTTATTCCTGTTTGGGAGCTGGGAGATAGAGTACTTGGAAAAGGTATCACAAAATGTGTGCTACCCTCCTATTTTGGTATCAGCTCCCCTGGTAGGGGTATGTGGCTTAAAAAGAACAAACGGAATCTTTGACTACTTGATATCCCTGCTCAGTTGCAGAGGCCCTGAAGATCCCATAAAGGAAACCAGAATGAAGGCTACCCTAACATGCCACTTCCCTCAGTCCAGCCACCTGGCCCCTGAACCTGAGCTGCAGCTCCTTTGACTATGTGGACATGAATAAGCATTTTAACCCAAATGCTCTCTTCAAGATAGCACAAAGATGTCAGTTTGAAATAACACTTTCATAAAATGTTTGGTCAGTGGCATCTTTGAAATGTCAAGAGATTGTTGTTCATGACCATATGCGCTGATTGTGGTTACTGGCATTTAAAGGTATACATTAAATGTCCCTCTCAAGTTATATGCAACATTTTTCAACCCAAGCTATGTATTTATGCAACATAGATTGAAAGCTTACATGCCAGGCACATAGTATCATTGAGCTAACCATACTGAGTCATCTGTTTATCTATCTTTTTCTCCTGAAAGGCAAGGGCTACTTTCTTTTCATCTTTGTATTCCTAAGACCAAGAAGAATGTCTAATATATAACAGACATTCAATATTTGTGGAATTAACATAGGTATGAGGTAATATCAAAGCATTGCTGTCCCTTGCAAAGTCTTCCAAAAAAACTGGTTTTATGCTGATGTATTTGCTGATGAATGCATCAGTGACACGACATTTACCTTCATGTATTTATATATGTATATGTTCTGCATTTGTATAATGCTTTAATGTTTTGGGAAGGCATTATCCCACATTTTATATTACTTTGTCTTCCTAATATCTACTTGAGCCTATGTGCCCACTGAAGAGATGAAGAATAAAAGCCTAAGCTCTCATCAAAAGTTGGTGGAAGAGTCCTTTCTAGAACTTGAATCGCCTGACTTTTCCACCACTCACTCTTCCTCGGCAGTATGGTAATTTCCCATTTAGCAAAAAATATACTGTGTGGGAAGCATCACATCGTCTGGTGTTTTTGAAGCTCCAGTAAAATGAGTCACTGCGCCATCATAGGAAAAACCTTGAAATCTTTCCCTTCAGGACTAAGAGTAAAGCCTCATTATGTAACTTCAAACTCTCCCGAGGGATGGTGAGTAAGTCCCAGATGACAGGATAAAAACAGGTAAAATCATATTGATAATGCTGATGGAACAAAAGCATACAAGGTAGGTTTCTCAAGGACTGATGTTTAGGCTGCTATGATCATACACTCCGTCCAGTGTCAAATGCAGTCAGTCATTAATTTGTCTCCTTTTTTAGGAAAAAAAAGGAAAAAGATATGCAAGTTTCCATTATTGAAACTACGTACCCATGAAAATTCCACAAGTTAGATACTAGTTGTTTAGTCTAGAAATTTAGATTCATGCTCACATCTTTATATACTGACCGAAAATGTAATATGTGTGTTTGTCCTTTTTCATAACTTTGATGAAAAACTGACCAAAATGAAAATCTCTGCAATAACATTCTATACAATTCTGAGATTCCACACAGGAACCTTTGGGTCTTGAGGGAGCCTAATAAATATTTTCCCTTTTTCTCATTTCCAAATTAGACTAGGATTCAGATGGGAAACCAAAATATTATCTTTATTATTTGTAAAGGCTAGTTGTAAAATGTGGTAAAGCTGTGTGGCTTTCCAATACCCAATATTGCACCCCAGAATTATACTTGCACAAATATGGGTACAACAGGGCAGCCACAATCTTCCCCCATGGGGCCTGGCACTGGCACAAGTATAGCACTGAGGAACAGATCAAAAGCGTGTTCTCTGCAGGCAGAAAGATGCCAAAAGCAAAACAGAAGGAGCTACTCATACCCAAGTCTTCTCAGAACTCCACAAAAAATTCATTTTTCCTCTGCTTTGCATGAGCCAGGCGTGCTATTCTAATGGGTTCCCGCCACACAGAAGGCAGCATCCTCACCTGTATCTGGGGACAGCAAATGAACATCTACCCCCAACCTCCACATTTGTTGCTTTTAACCTATTGAGTGCCCGAGGAAATTTACTCTTAAAAGGTATACTTCCAGACATTGTTTGATTCTATAATTCAGGTAAGGAATAATTAGTTAGTTTTTAATTATTTGTAGGTCTTGTTAAAATGGCCAGTTTCTGCATAGAGAAGCTGAATGCATCTTGGACTATGTAGTGGACACTGGTGTGCCAGCCAGATCCCTTCATCCCCATCTTCAGGACTGACTTGCTCATTTCTCCAGCTGCTGAGAGTGCTAGTGGCTCATGACTCGCAGCTGACCACCCCCACTCCTACCTTCCCTCCACCACACACTGGAGTTGTCTCTTCTCCCAGACCACATCCAATGATTGCTCCATGCTAGAGGTTAAAGGCCAGCCTTGTTGCCCAACTGAAGACAACTGTACAAGTCATCTAGGGGTCTTTATGTGACAGTGCTGACCTCCACCTTCCTTCCCTGCCCTATTCTTTCTCCCCTTCACCCACAAGTGTGCATCTCAACACCACCCCCAAAACTTCCTTCCAGAACTGCTTCCCAGGTACCTGTCACAGCATATTTTTAAAGGAAGTATATCCCATATAAAGTATATCCCATATAAAGGAAGTATATCCCGTGTATTACTGCATGGAAAAAATACTGGATTTTACCCATCCAAATAAACTGAATATTGAACCAAGAAGCCAGATTGAAGATACAATCTGGGTACTGGTGAAGGTTATTTGATAATAAAGACACAGCCAAAACTGGCCCAATACAGCATGACATCTTCCCAGAAGGCCATTTGTCACTGCAGCTTCTGGGGTGCATTTGTGTAATTAGATATTAACAATTCAGGATTAGTCTTGGAAAAGTGCACAGGCAAGGCTTCTCTCACAGCTGTTCTTTGAATGGGCTCTGATCTCATGTTTGTTTAAATTAACTTAAAAGTGATGTTTTCTTTTTTATGGGGAAAAAATAGCTGCAGAATTAAAAGATGTACTGGCACTTGACACTAATCATAAATACAACCAGCAGCCCATCTTGAAAACAAAGTGTTATTTTAACACTAAGCCATGATTTTGTTTTCATCCTGCACACAGGCCCGGGCATCCCCATTTCTACCCTTCATGATGGACGCACTGATCAAGGTACTCTCTCTTGCATGCTATTTATCTTGTCTCAAGAAATCCTGAAATCTCTGTGATACTCCGCTAGAGAAAGCAGGACAGTTTTCCCACACCAAGGGTAACTGCAACGGAATCCTGTTATCATACAACTTATTACTGCACAGATTTGGATATTATTTGGGTCAAACATGATCCTATGAAATTTAATAATTCTTTGCAGTGAGAACCTGGCATAACACAGATGAGTTATATCAGAGAGTTTAATTCTATCTTCTCCAATCAGCCTTATAAAAAGCACAGATTAGAATTGGGAAAAAACTTAGCACATTCAGTACGATCTTCCTTCCAAAATAGAATTCCTAGGATTTTTTTTGCTCAGGGGGTTGGGAGTAGGGGATTGTTTGTGTGTGTGTGTGGGGGGGGGGGTGGCAAGGAGGGGTAACATCCCAAACCGGAAACAAATTCTGCATGTAACTTCTTCATTTCAGAGCAGAGGGTGACTGGCATGCCAGCTTTTTTTTGTTTTAACAGCTACATCACATTGTTGTCATGTATGAATGCCCTGAAATTTAGAGGCTTTTTCCATTTTCAACTGCTATTAAGGCAGTCCTCCTGTGTCCTGTATTTGTGATACGGGTTCAAAATAGTTCACATCTCAAAGATGACCGTTTTTGCTCTCAACAGAGTTGTCCAAGTGTCTAATTGTTCTGATACGTTTCCTGCTGGCTGTCTATTATATTTTGATTTACTATTAAGCAACATTATAGGTTGGAGTTGTTTGAGGCCAGGGACAATGAGGCAGATGCCATTTTCTTCAGCACTCGTGCCTGCGATTGTCCCTGGACAGCTTTGGTGACAAGTCAGGAGACTGCCTTGGGATTAGTTTGGCTGTCAGTTCAATGGCTCAAGTATAGGTGAAAATAATGAGAAAAAAACTAGAGTTGATTCAGGAACTCTGGACAGGACAGGCATTGTAATTATGGGACTGTGAATTTAGTTTCATTTTAAGGGTTTTTTTTTAAACCTTGTGTCTAATAAGGAAATACTTTTAAGAATAACAGGTTTTATTTCTTAATTTGACCACCTCAGTCAGTGAGATTGATTTCAAGTCGACAAGGATTTGTTTTAATAGAAATCACCATCAGCGTATAATTCTAATTTTATGATGACTACAAAATAATGGCCAGCCTTTCTTTTTCCATACCATAAATTTCTACCTTCGTGAGATCCTTATTAGATTCCTGGCAAATCTCTGTACTGATTTTGAAGCTCCATTACTTTACTGACTATTTACAAAATAGGTAGTGTTCGTGTCAACCTCAGATATGTCTGACATAATTAAGTAAGTGCTAACTGAAAAAAATAGAATTCAAATTCTTTCAGAGCACAGTTCCACAACTTGCCTAATGTGAATTATTCTCCTGTATTCATTATAAATACAGATTCGCAGGCCTTCCCCAAAGATTTTAATACGGTACATCTTAAATTATGCTTGAAAATTTGTATTTTTAACAGTAAATGTTCAGCTGCTGATTTGCAGCAGACACTGTGTCTCTTATTTACATTGAATTTGGTGTCAGCAATCTCTATTCAACAAATATTTATGGAACTTCTACCACATTAAGCCAGACACTGCACTAGGTCCTGGGTCTATCTATAAAATAAAGAGATTCCAGGTTAGACAATGTCCTTGTCCTCAATGAGGTTATAAATGAGTGGGGAATATGAACATGGAAATGGGCAGTTACAATACAGCGGGGTAAGTTCTAAGATAGGAGAGCTACAGAAAGCCTGGAAGCACAAAGGAAGAGCAGCTCATCTGAGTTGAGGGGTTAGGAAATGTTTCCTAATGATAGCTACCACAAACCTGAAACTCATGAATATGGCATAGGTGTTGATGCTGTTTGGATAACTGGCTTGATATTAATGTTTTTTTATTGAAATAGAGGACTCATTGTGGAGACCAGCCTTTGGGATGATGATGAATTTTGTTTTCAATGTTGAGTTTGAGAGGCCGATGGGATATCTAAATGGAGCTGCTCTGTAGTGACATCATTTTGCATCTGGATGCCAGAAGATCAGTTTGGACTGAGATAATGATGAAAATCATTAGTTTATGGAGCACATGGTTACTAAGGCCTTAGAAGTGAATGATACTCATATCCTGAATGGACAAAACAAGAGTGGACAGAGTTAGTAGAGAGTGAGCCTACAACACAACTGTATGGAACATCAACACTGGAGAAATGGAAGGAGAAAAATGAGCCTGGAGAGGAGACCAAGAGGGAACAGAAGGAGAGGGATAAACTTGAGAGTATGGTATTGTGGAAAGCAGGGGAGGAGAAGAGCTCAAGGAGGAGGAAATAAGCAGCTGTGTCAGATGCTGCAGAGAGTGAAGGAAGACTTGCTCTAAATTAATGGACTCAGCAAGAGGGAGATTGACATTAGCTTGGTCTGAGCCGTTTCAGTGGAGCAGTGGAGGTGGAAGCCAGATTAAAGCAAAATTAGGTCTGCATAAGTAAGTTTAAAAAAGGCAGTATTTCCAGTTGGTCTGTGATGAGAAGAGGGGATTGGTGGGATGGAAGCTGTAAAAGATTGTTGTAGGTTTAATTCTGTTTTTGAAAGAGGATAAACATTTGAGTATGAGTAAATGTTGATAGAGGAAATCAGGAGAAAAAAATGGATTGAAAACTTAGAGGAGGGAGGTTCCTAAGAAGTTGAGAGAGGATGCAATTCACAGAGAGGTGAGGAGATTAACATCTTGTGATGGGATGGGAGAGAATAAAGAAATTGTTAGTATAGTTGTATGAAAGTTGGAACATAATGAAATGGTTTTATTTTCCCTGCAAAGAGGGGGAAGGTTATCTGAAAATAGCAAGTAATACTTGAACCAGATTCTATGGGAATCCAGAAGAGCTGGAATTGACAGGGAGGGCCTAGTTAAAGGTTAGTTGCTTTGGGCACAGAAAATGCTCATTAAAATTAACCAATTCATGACATGCCCCTATTAATCAGCCTTTCCATGGATTCTTTACATAATTTAATTAATGAACAATATAGGATAGTAAAACGATTCAAAAAGAAATCAAGTATAAGATCCATCATTCTGACAACTCAATTTTATTACAATGAAGAGTCTACAAATACATATGGAGCATATACTTCATGCCAGATACTAGGTACTGTGTGTGCAGGGTACTGAGTATACAGTGATGGGTGAAAGAGTAAAAGGTACAGTTTGACCTGTACTCCCCTTGCTAGGTTATAGGTTTTTAACGCACAGCCTTATTGAGAAGCCAGCTGCCACCTCTCACTTCCCCCACAGCCCTGTGAGAGTGTTTGTGCTCCAAAAGATGAAAAAATTGCCCACTCACTATCCATAAAAATGCAACTCTGAACCATAAAAGCATTTAGATTAAATTTGGCATTTCATTAAGTCATGTATCAGAACAGTTCAACAGCTAAGAACAGAATGGAGAAGGAGTCAAAGCCATAAGAACATGACAACACCCAGATATTGTCTCCTACTTCTAGTGCTTGTGGTAAAATAATGCAAATAGTAATCAGTCAATCAAACAGCCACCATGTGTGCTTGGTCCACACAGGAGTCTCTTTATCCATGGCAGCTCCACACACAGAATACACGCAAGAATGAAGGGGTTGGCTCTACTGTACTTAGAATTATGTATTCATTTTACTTTTTTGGTTTTAATTTTTAAGGTGTCATAAGTATCTCTTCCCTGATGGATTACCCAAAGTTAATGTGAAATTCATTATGTATCTTATACAAATCATACCCAAAACATCTATACTTGTGCTAAGATTAAATATAACATGTTGGAGCAAAATGCCATGAGTATATGAAAACTGAGAGTTACAAGAGAAGTGGTTTGGCAAATTTAGTATAGTTACAAGCACTCCTCCAGTTCCCTCTCTTCAGAGACCACTCTTTCAAAAAGGCATAAAAACAAGAAATCCATGGACATCTTTTGCAGCAATAAACATATCTCACAAGTCATCCAGCCCCTCTTTTAAAAGATAAAGCTAGAACTTCACCTATTTGAAAGATTAACTTTTCTAGAGAAGATGCTGATGTCAATCCCAGGTTCAAAATAAAGTCTATAAAAACCCTCTATTGCTAGAAACCTATTTGCATCTATTACCAATCTACAGATTCAGAAGATCAATGGATTTGTTCCTTTTCAAATATTAAGGTGTGAAATACAACTGTGTTCAAGCATAAATAGTAGTTTTTAGATTTTTAAAGGTTTAAGACAGAGAAAGAGCATATTGTGTGTATATATGTATTGTTGCCTTACTCAGATATATAACTATCTTGAGAGAAAGGATTTGAAAGAATAGCATACACAGTAATTCAATTTCCAAAAAAGGGAGAATATCCTATATTAATCAAGTGCAACAGGAAAAGGATAAGAAAAAAACATTTCAAAAATCACAGAGATAATATTCAACTTTATACATTGAAAATTAAAAAACAAATTTTGTAATTACACAATTAATTATTTTAAATTTGAAGACTTAGGAATCTGGATTATATTTCCACTACATTTTTTTTTAGTATATGACAAAAGAAATGTCACCTACTTAGGTCATGGCTTTAAACTTAAAAACAAAACAGTTTTAGATGGAAAAACATGGTTGAATAAACATTGTTGCTCCTGTGATTTTGCTCAAAATGTGTTTTGATGCCATTAGGATTAAATAAGGAGATAGTGATTAAAATATGATGTCCTTCACAAGCTTGTATCTGCTCTAAAGCCTGGATTATAAATACATTTGTCAATATGAAACTTCTTAAGCAAGCATTTCACAGTTTCAGTTTCACCCATATTGAAGTCAAAGGAATTTTAAGGAAAAAATTGTTCATGGAAATACTATTGATTAAAAATGAACATTTAACTTTTTTCAGAAATTAAAATCCTGGAAGAAAACAAGGAATTGGAAGATGCTCTGAAAAATATCCAGCTGCCTAAAGAGGAAATTAAGAAGCTTGAAGTAGATGAAATTAGTAAGATCTTTTAAAAACTTTTCATTTATAGATATGAAGCTGAGCAATTTTCTTGCTTTTAAAAAAGTATAGGGTAAACATTAGAGTGCAAATTCTGTGATCTATTAATCTTACAGGATTTCATTTAAAATAATCTTATTCTAACAATATTTAGTTTTATTAAATATCTTTAATACATTTGTGAATATGGTTGATCTTATACCTTTTCAATAGCTTCCTTTCCACATTGACATTTTTTAAAAAGAACTTATCTAATTTTAATTTTAAAGTGTGTCTTTCTAGAACAAACAGTAATTCAAGATTTCTAGTCATTTATACATTAAACACAAAAATTTAATGAAAGTTACTTTTAAATATATCCTCAATTCTTAACAATTCAGTAGTTGTAAATTGATTTTATGGTATATATTGTTATTAAAGACAATAAATGATGCTATGAGTACTGTGGAATATAGATTTTTCTCCTTTTTTTTTTCCTCAAAGCTTTATGGTACAAGATGATTCTTCCTCCTCAATTTGACAGATCAAAGAAGTATCCCTTGCTAATTCAAGTGTATGTAATATTTTCTTTGGTGTAAAAACTATTTACTGAAAATATGTTAGATGAAATACGCATTTATGAAATAGAATGAACCATTCTCCTTGGTAACAGTTCCTATTGATGCTGTTTTTGTATATTCCTCAACTAATCAGAGTAAATAAAATATGGCTATTTAAAATAGATTGAGGAAGTTTTGAGATTTTAGCTGGACTTGCTTGCATTTGCTGTGTCAAATTTCCTTTGTATGGCAATTTGCCGAATGTGTCAGAATACCTTTGAAATAGAGACATTGCAGCCAAAAAAATATTGTAAATCATCTTCACGTCTTATGTAATTGAGTTAGAAATGAAATAAAGGAATAGAATACATTTAGTGGAATCACACCCAAAATCAGTGCTGACCTACACACAATTTGCTTAAAACACCAAGCATTTTTTTTAGTATATCTTATGTCTGCTTTTAGCAAGTGGCAGGTGGCAGAAATGACGAAAAACCCACACATATTCCTTGAAATGCCAACCCTAGATGTATCCGTTTTGGGGAATAGGAGAGGCTGTGTCCCAAAACAACTTCCTTGTAGCAAACCTCTGGGAAAAGCCTGGACTCCTCTTGATTTTGAGCCAGTTCTAACGCCATTGTTATTTTATCACATAATTGTACTGGGAATTACTAGAAGCAATGCTTGACAAGGATGGGAAATTTAGTTTTATAAAAGAATCAAAGATTTTTTTTTTCCTTTAGGTATGGTGGTCCCTGCAGTCAGAGTGTAAGGTCTGTATTTGCTGTTAATTGGATATCTTATCTTGCAAGTAAGGAAGGGATGGTCATTGCCTTGGTGGATGGTCGAGGAACAGCTTTCCAAGGTGACAAATTTCTGTATGCAGTGTATCGAAAGCTGGGTGTTTATGAAGTTGAAGACCAGATTACAGCTGTCAGGTGAGCACCTTCTCATTCAAGCAGATGTCAACATTCAACAAAAGTCATGCAATCACTATTGTGTTTCTCCATTCTTAATGACTTCATTCTTTTTTCTCTCTCTCTTTTTCTAACTTGGTCTAAAACTATCACTAATCTTAAAGGGGTATTTTTGCCAAATATGGAATAAAAGTATTCATGGAAGAGAGCTAATAAATGTGTAGAAAAATGATTTCAAGTGCTAAATAACAACCTCTTTTGATGTGTTATCATTCATTCTAATATATTTTAATTTAGTTCCATTACTTAACAATTGATAGAAAAATTTTAACTCTAATGATGATCTTCAGGAAAACAAATATCTGAATTTGTTCAAGCATTGTGGATTCTACCTCATAAGTTTAGAAACAGCTCCAGATTTTATCACCACTGCAGACTTTAAGATGTTAGGCATTCATTTGTGGTTAAACTAGCTATCAGTCAGCCATGGCAGCATAAACGTGTTTGCCTATTTTCATTTGACAAATCTTAGTCATTTTACGCAACAGAAATCATATTATGAAAACATTTAGGGGACAGACAGATTCATAATCTGATTTCTTCTTCGCAACTATATTTTCAAACGTGGTTTATGGTTCAATCATTTTTTTCTGAAACAGGACTATATAGGTATCAAAATTGTGACTTCTTTAGAAACACAGTGCAAATATTTCTTGCAATGTCTCTATAGTTGTTGGGTTTCTGTTATTATGTTATGAGTAGGTGAAGCTAGAGAATAATAGTTCATAAATCTAAAAGATAGGCTAATTGCACTCTCTAGTCATGAATATACATGCATGTGCAGAGCTAAAGGTCAAACACTGTTTCACAGGCACACAGCAATTTGGAAATTTCTTTAGTACATTTTTTTATCTCCTTAATGTCACTAATAATTATTTCACTACAACATGCAGAACTAAGATTATATTTAACAACCAGGAGCCAGGCCTAGACAACACTTTTCTATATTTTTGTCTCTAATCCAAGCAGAAGAGATCAGACTCACAAATAATTGTCTTTAAAAATATAAAGGTATCCATAATTCATACATTTTCAAGTGTTTCTTTCACGCTATGAGCACACAAAAAGTTTAATAAAAAATAAAGTCTATCTGAGTACAGTATGACAAATCAGTAAGTAGGTTACTAATACTAAAATCTGTAGCTATAACTCAATTTCTGGAATCTCCCTCTTTCTTATGGATTTAGACTTTTGGCCTTTCAACTATTAACTTGTTTGAAGAAGATAATTCATAGCAAAACCTCATTGAGATATCAGTTTCTCATATAAAGGCTGTTGTGTGTCTTAATGAGAATATTAACACAATTCTCAGAATTATAGCCTAATTCCATGAGGGACTTTTTTTAGCACCATGCCTCACATCTATTTGCATTTAAACCACACAATAAACATCAATGACATGTAATCCTGGAAGTATATGAAAACAGAAATGACAATTATGCCTCATTGGTAATTTAATGAGATCTTTTCCAAAGTTGAAAAAACTAAAAAATGGTTTCTTTTGGCATTGGTTAAAAAATCATTGTCTTCATCATCATCCTCATCAAAACCTACTAGTAACAACAAAATATATCATTATATTTTTATGCATTTGTTTACCACCACAAATGCACCATTTGAACCTAAGAAGAAATACCTTCTCAATATTTTGCTTGGCTGAAATGAAATATTAAACCTGAGCCATGATGTTCAACATACAGGACACAAAGCTGTAAACTCTAGCTTCTACTGATTTTCACAGCAATGCTAGTTTGTCTTGGCATTTAGAACTGAAGATGGACTAGAGATGGTAATCAGATACCTTTACTTTCTCTGAGCCATTTTTAGGATGCAATTTGAAGAAAGTCTTCCTGCTGTAGGGAAAACATATCTTCACCCGTTTACTCAGCCATTCAACAACATATCTAATATTAGTATTAATATATGCCATTGCAGTACACCCTTTATAAAATTGTGCAATTTATAATCTCTGTTTTCAGAGTGCTTATAATCTGATAAAAGTGAATAAGCCACCTACACTCTGAAAACATTGTTGTTAGATCAAACTCTTATTAAACACCCCAGAGAACATGGGCACTGTGTGGTCCCATGCAAAGTCTATAAACAACAATAGTGATGACAGATGATGAGCTGGCCTTGGTTTTTGCTTGAAATCATTCTTATGCAACAGTGAAAAGGAAACCTTATGATCCAATGCTTTGAGAAAACAAAAGCTAAACAGGATAGACTTAGAATGATAGTCCTGGGAATTAATCAATATACCTCCTAAGGAAGTGTTTTAGGAATCAGACAACGAGTACCTGACCTGGGGAATTGAGATTATAATACTTCTACCCAAATTTCCTCTCAGAGAATAAAATTTGTCCCCTGAATCTTTTATAAAATGCAATCTGGCTAAGGTTTTGATATACCAAAAGAAAATTGTACGTACATATTTGGAAACAACAGTAAATACTACTCAAGGCCAACAAATAGATTTAAGCAAAGCAAAGTAGGGGAAAAAAGAAGTTATGTTATCTTATAACTTTTGTCTATATGAAAGAAAATACTTCAGAAGAGTTGCTTGTGAAGCCACAAACAAAGGAGACTGAAACCTGCTTTCTTAGGCTTCTCTCCAAATGGTACATACGTGAGACCCTTAAAACGCTGGTGGTTATAAGGGCAACTTTGCTCATTTGGAGTATATTTGGCATTTTTTAATATTCCCACAACTTTAAAATTTTATATAACTGGAGGGTTAGTGGTGGGGAAGAATTATATGAGATGAAATATTCTATCATGCTTTTATAGATGGTATCAATAAGAATATTTCAAAAATAGGATAATAATTGATCACTAGGATTCCAAGTTTACCTTTGCTTCAGGCCATTTTTATGAGAGAAATATTACAAAGTTCAATCCAGCCTCCAAAATTAGAAAAACATCCTTTTTATTTATTACTGACATTTTGTTGATATAACCGCATTATCAACAGTATTTACAACACTCTGGGAAACTCTTCAGAATTTGAAGGTGAATTTTATAGTGCCTCCTTGGTCTCGAAGTGCTGAGCTTATCTAGCTAACCTTTAACCTAGCCCTGCCACATTCAGTGTTAATGTTTCATTTCCATGTTAACTACTGCACTATCATTTCCTGTAAATGTCATCCTTTCAGAATAAACCTAGGAAGAGAGCTGTTAAGAGTTTCCTGTTCCCATGTATCACCTGTTATTTGCTTTTTACCCCTGATGATTGCTAGCTTCTGGGAAATCATAAAATCACGATTGATTTTATGGCTTAGAACTGTCTTCAAGCACTAGTAGCAAGATTATTTTTTTAACAAGAAAGTGAACCTTCTCTTCTTTCATTTGGTTTTTGAAGTTTGTGCAAGAATTGCTCAAGTGCCACAATTTGCTACACATTTTCTCTGCTATACCATGAGCAGCATCCACACAGGTAGCAACTTTCCGTTTGCTACTGCATTTCTTCTCTGTAGACTCCTCAGTGTCCTTCAGAATCAGTGTCGGGTAAGCTGTGACTAACGGGGCCTCTTCCCATCTGTTTGTCCCGGGCATTTGCCCAACTCCTCTATGCATCGGAAACGTGCATGTTGAATCAATGCAAGAGTGAAATGGTTGCTGTGAAATCCCTTTAAGAAACTACATTATTCAAGTAATGAAAATCACTCAGTTCTACTTCCAGAGAAGAACTGATGAGAAAGGTCATTAACAGTAATTGAATGGAACAAGAATGTGGTGTTTTTCTGGGACTGTGTGTCTCCCTTTGGTCTCCTCCCCTCCTTCCTGTTACTGTTGTATACAATGGCTTCTGTAATGGCTGATCCAGTTTGCTACATTCTATTCCGGCTTCTATTTCTCTGAAATTTTCTGTAGTTTTTATGAAACCAATCCCCAGATAAATCACAATTGCTCTAGAACACCAGCCCTCAGGGGAATAGGATAGAAATTAGCTTGAAACCTTCAATTTTGAGGGTTTCCCATGACTTTTTAAAGGTTGTCCTTCAGCATAGCCTCTTGCTCCTAGGGAAACATTTATTTTCAAAATAGTTTTCAAATGGAGGCTCTTCTACGATGGAGCTGAAAAGGGATTATTTCCGTATTTTAAAAGATACATGTAATTGCCCCATATATGATGAATTGAGGATGCCTAAGTACAAAATGGAAGAGGGTTGTATATTTCTCTCAAATGTCACTCAAAATAAAATGGTGATTATCATTAACAACTAAACAAGCAAGGTGATAAGAAATTAATGCAATTTAAAGCAGCAAGAATAAACTCCTTCTTTCCACTAGCTGGGAATTTGGAAATTCGATTCTGCTCAATGGTACTGCTACTTCCTGTGTTACTATGAACTGGTATCTTGGCTTCTATGAGTCTCAGGTTCCCTCCCACAATTGGGATACAAGGCCTTACAGCTCTGAGTTTACCACTCAATAACTGTACAATAGAGTCTAAGAGGATCCTTTTATCTCTTTGCAGAAAACATGATAATATTATTTTAATTATTTGTAAATGCAGCCTTATTATGCATGTGTTTAAACAAAGAAAATGCAGCATTTCTATTAAATTTTTGGATTAAGTATGTTTGTGTAATGAAGTAAATGTCATGTGTACACACTTAACATTCTAAAAATTTGTTTCTTTTACTTTAGAAAATTCATAGAAATGGGTTTCATTGATGAAAAAAGGATAGCCATATGGGGCTGGGTGAGTTGTTTTATGTTTTTTATGCCTGTTATCCAGTTCAGCAATCATCATTTTCTGAAGTGTTCGTTTAGAAGGTTTCTCATGAAATGTTAATGTTGCAACATAATTTAATCTGTCAATGGAAACAGTCAATTTGGATAATCTGGGCTTCAAAGTGGTGGTTTTAAGTGTTTGTTTCTTTTTTTCAATCTTTTCTTCCCTGTACAGTAAGTTAACTCATAATTGACATATTTTTACTTAAGCCTTTGTTACTAGATTATAGCATACTGAACGGAACCATATCCATCAGAGGTTTAAATTCCTTTGTTATTTTAGAGTTAAATATGTATCTCTTATTCTTTTACAAAAATCTGAGCTACAACTTGAAATCACAGGAACTTTCAGGATATTCCTTCCTACCTAGCCTAGGAGTCATATCTTAGCTGTTTGATTTTGCTTCTTTTTATTTGGCAATCAAATTATTTTACTAGACGGAATGTTCGTTTGTCTAACTGGAGAGAAGTACTATCTAGTTTCCTAATTATAGGCCATGGAGAAAACTTCTCACATTTGAGGAGCGGTGCATATTTTGAAAATACACATTTAAAGGAAGTGGTAAAACTTATCAGTTAGGGGCAATGAAGTCACTGGAAAGTTTAGAGAAATACTGGAAAGAGTTTAGATTTGCCCATTATAAATTATGATAATTACTCTTCAAAGAAGATTTCCTGTTTCACTTTTTGGTCTGAATTTGTACATTTGCAAGTCAATTTGCAGCCATTTGTGCCTGGGTTGTTTTTCTTGGCTGTTTTCTCTGAGAGCGGCCTGCACCAGGAGAAGAAGGGAATGAAACCCAATATTGAAGGGAATCTGCAGTATTCAGCTCCGCTCAGCTCAGTGTCCAGATGAAGAGCTGTTAGGAATTTTAAGAAAGTTGTTACTTCAAGCCATTTGGTCCTTCTTAAAACTATCAAATGTTAAATATCTAAACAGAATAAAATTCAAATGAGTAGAAATAAATGAAATATTTTTAAGTGAAATATTTCAGAGAATACCTTCCCTATCATCCATTTTTATAAAATTTTCTAAAACAAATCCTTGAAAGACTCTAATTTTAAGTTGAACATATACATATAATCATTAACATTTCTCTTAGAGTTGGACTTTGCTTTTACTGCAGGCTTTGAAATAACCATAAAGTAGAACTTTTCATTTTATTTATAGCATTCTAGGTATTAGTTTGGTAGAAAACCATCTACGTGGGATGATTTTCTAAAAACCCACTCATCACCCAAAAATATATCCCTATCAGCCTGAAATTCTTCAATAATAGATTCACACCACATCTAGTTGGACAAATGCAACTGAAATAGTACATTAGAACCCCCACCCCTCAATTGCTTACTTTCCAACATGGTGATAACTGTGAGGTTAACTCTGAGAGCAAATTTGAGGAAAGAAACTAAGAAATGGGCTGCCACGTGATATAGCATCTGAGCAGAAGGAACCGGTATGTAGATAAAGACCTTAATACTATACTGGGTTTTTAAATCAGTTCTTCAGGTTTAACATGTTTATGAATCCATCTGTCTAATCACTGACTTGTTCATTCTTTCATCCACATAGTACATTTTCTACAAGGTCTTGTACTAGGTTCCTTAGGGGATGAAAAGATGGGTAAGTCATAGCCCTAGACCTCTTGTAGGGGAACAGACAACAAAATAAGCAATGGCTCAGCAATGTTCCAAGTGTTAAGAGAGATGCAACTTGCTGTAGTGTACAGGGGGACAAGAGTGGATAATTATGGCTGTGGAGCTAAGGGAGGATTCCAAAATAAGTTAGCATTTGAGATTGGTGAAGATAGCTGAGGAACAGAGCATTCCAGGCAGAGGGAAAACCACATTGCCCAGGACCTGAGTTAAAGAGCATGGTGCACACAGGGAGACTGAGCTGGCCAGGGATGCCTGAAACTTGAAAACTCTAACGTATCTTGAAGAAAGTATAGGAAATGAGTCTGAATAAGTAAGTATACAGATAATAGAAAGACAGGTATACAGATAATAGACAGGCTTTTAGTCCACCTAAAGGGGAGGGGCTTTGTGCATGGCTGTGACATCTTTCTCTTCATTCTTCTGTGACTCTGTGATCATTATACTTTTTTTTTCTTTTTCTTTCTTTTTTTTTTTTTTTTTTTTTTTNTTTTTTGGCGGAATCTCCTTCTGTCCCCCAGGCTAGAGTGCAGTGGCACAATGTGGCTCACTGCAACCTCCACCTCCCAGGTTCAAGCAATTTTCCTGCCTCAGCCTCCCAAGTATCTGGGATTACAGGCACATGCCACCAAGCCCTGCTAATATTTCTTCTTTTGTTTTCAAGACAGGGTTTTGCCATGTTGCCCAGGCCGGTCTCAAACTCCTACGCTCAAGCAATCCACCCACCTCAGCCTCCCAAAGTACTGGATTATAGGCATGAGCTACCATACCAGGCCTCCATTTATTATTTATAATATTGGTGTTTTTCTGGGTCTGGAGCTCGCCTTGACCGTCATTAGTCTTCCCTTCCTTCAGCAAACCTTTGTGGCATCAAAGATGGTGATGACTTCCAGATCACTGCCACCAGCACACTCTTCCGTGCTCCATCTTTCAAATGCCTTTTGGTCATCTCTCCCACGTCTCACGTGGGCCTCAAACTTAGCTTACACCTAAGGTGAACTTGTTAAAAATCTATATTAAAACAAGCCTTAATCTTTATTAAGGCTTCTCCACACACTTATTCACCCAAACTAGAAAGCTGAGAGCTGTTTTCAACCTATCCTGTCCCTGATTTCAAAATTCCATTGATTAGTAAGTTCTGTCAATTCTACCCTTAAACCTCAAAGTCTGTTCTCATTGCTACTGACACTGCCTTAGTTTGAGTTCCTTCATTTATAATTTAAGCCAGAAATTCTCAAACTTTAGCTTCCACAAGCATCACCTGGAGAGCTTGTTAAGACACCAGAGATTCTGAGTCTGTGCTTCTGGGGTGGGGCCCAAGAGTCTTCATTTCCAACAAGACCACAGGTAATGCTGATGATTGGGTCCGTGGAGGACAGGTTGGGTGGCATCTTTTAACTATTCTAATTGCTTCTTAACTATCCTCCTGCTTTGGTCTCACAAGGTCCAATGTGGTTAATGAAGTTATCATTCCAAAACAATTTTTACTGTGTGGCTTTTCTGCTTATGTATTATATAGGACTCTGCATTGCCTGCAACATAAAGCCCAGACACCTTTCTTGGCATGCAAAGCCCTTGGCAATCTGACTCCAGCTTAGTTTTCCACCCTCATTTCTTGCCACTTCTCCCTGTGCCTTGAGCAATTTAAATTATATCCATGCCTCCGTGTTCCCATGTTCTGTACATGTTGTTTCTCACATCTTCAATGTCCATTCTATTCTTCCATTCCCCACCTCTTCCTCACTTTCAAATGGATAACTCACACTTGCTCTTTAAGAGTCAACACAGATATTATTTCCTTTGTGCTCCAGTAGCTCTTTGCATTTCTCTTATAGTAATTATCATGTTTGATCTTCATCTGTCTAGTTAGTTTCTCCCATAAGAAGATACGTTCATCAAAGGAATGCACTGTGCCTCATTTTAGCTTTGTTTCTGAGCACAAAGCTAGAATTGTGTTTGTTTAGCACAATGCTTGGCCATACCACGCATCTATGATGCTGTTTAAACTGACTTTAATCCTATAAATCCATGTCTCCCCTCAAATATGTCCCACTAGTACCAGGAAAATGTTCTAAGGTCTAATAATTTGGCAAATCACAAATTCTATGTAATAGTGAATATAGGCTCTACAAAGACTGATAAAACTGTCAAGTTTTGTTTAACACAGTATTACCAAAAAGTATTCGATTCCCCAATTCGTTATTCCCCCACCATCCCAGAACACATATTGGCAATGTTTTCTATGGACACCCCTTTGTAAGGTGCTTTTGACGTCAATAGGGCATGGTTTTGGTGTCTTAAAAAGATAATCTTGGCTGCAAAGTGGAGGATAATCTGACATGTGGGGAGAGGATGGGACAAGGGGCTAGGAGAGCAGTAATACTGGGAACGGATATAAAAGGCCTGAATTTAGGCAGGGAAGTAGCAGTTAAAAGAGGTCATAGCTCTGTGTGCTCTTATACAATGTAATAAGCAGGGACCTCTGGCAAATTGGAGATGGAAAAGAGAAAGACATTGAAAATTACCATGAGGTTTACTTAGCTCTTATTGTGTTTCATATTAGAGAAAAATATATGTGTTTCCATGAACTCTTAGTATAGTGGTCAGGGAAATACATCATACCCAACCAGACAAAATTTTTTGGAGTCAATTGGTCAATAATCTCCAAATCCCACATTACCCTCCGTCGTTGAGTTCAAGAAATGGAGAAGAAACCCTTTTATCTTCTCCTTTCATTTTCTGGCTCACAAAAAACAAAGCCCACTAACCCTGGTTTTAGCTGCTTGATAAATATTCACTACATGCCCACCACAGTGCCTAAGAGGTATTTGTTTATAACAGTGATTGTTAACCAGGGTGATTTTGCTCCTTGGGACATTTGACAATGTCTGGAGGCATTTTTAATTGTCACACTGGGGGAGTGCTACTGGCATCAAGTGAGTAGGGGCCAGGGATGCTGTTAAACATCCCATAATACACAGGGCAACCCCCATAACAAAGAATTATCCATCCCAAATTGTCAATAGTGTCAGAGTTGCAAAACCCTGATATGCAAAGAAAACTCAGCACAATTATTCTGACAATTGAAGAGTAGCGAGGGTTTTGCCTAAATTATTAGAATAACAGCCTCATTTCTGGGCTTCGCTTTGTTAATATAGGCCTAGCCAGGTGGTGTTGAATAAGCATTAGTTCATGATTTAATCTTAGTTCCTTTCTCTCCCAGTGACTAATTATAAGTAATTTGAATTGCTATGTGTGATCAACGATGTAAAAGTAGGACAAATGCACCTCTAATGAGACTATATTAGACTCTAAACTTATAGTTTCCCCAAAAGAGGTTGCCCTAAGTATAGGGATACAGAGGAAGGGGCCCGGGTTACTGAGTCAAGTATCCTGGGTTTCAGTCCCAGCTCTGCTGCTTACTGACTCCATAGCCGCTATAAGTTTACTCTGAGCCTCAGTTTCCTCATTGTGAAATGCAGCAATAATTTCCTCACCAAGACACTGTGAGGATTAGGTAAAGTAATAGCAAAGTCACATACTCAGCAAATATTTATTCCATTCCTATGTGTCTCAGGCCTTATTTTCAGTGATAGGCATACATTCGTTGACAAGACAGAAAAAATATCTACACTTAAAGGAGTTGGGAATGGTTGGGGAGGACGACAATAAACAAGATAAATTAGTAAAACATAGTAAAATGTTAAATGACGTTAAGCACTGTGGAAAAAGACAAAACAAAAAGAGGAGTGGTGCAGGTTGGTACGATTTTAAATCAGAACAGCAAAGAAGGCTCATTTGAGGTGACATTTGAAGAGGAGAGGAAGTGAGGTATGACAATGTCTGCGGAAAGAGCATTCCAGGCAGAAGTTCACAGCATTTGCAAACGTCCTGAGGCCAGATCATGTTTGGAGAGTTCAAAGAACATCAAGAAAGCCAGTGAACAAGGGGAAGAGAAAGGAAGGGGAGAAATGAGGTGGGAGAAGGGAGACAGATTGTGTGAGACCACAAAGGCCATTGCAATAACCCTGACCACATAAATGTTAGCTAGTTATTATTATTGCCTATAGGTAAAATGTTCCAGTGTGCATTATGCCTCAAATAAGAGTGTTTCGTAAACCCTCCTTCAAAATCCTGTGCCCTTCTAAGAATGTTTTTAAAGATATCCTTCATTTAAACAAAATGGCAAGGCGTCTAAGTGCAAAGGACAAAATTCCAGAATTCTCATGGCCAATCTGCTCTGTGGGTTCTTTTCTTGCAACAGCCACCCACTCTGCCTGGGAGCCCCACTCATGGAGGGGGGGCAGGAAAAAGTCAACTCGGGTTTTCTCTTTTCCCCCTCTTCATTTCTACAATAGGAATAGCTTTTCCAAGCTGCCCGAGAATTTAAAGTACACCTTCTTTTGTTGTGCTGCTGATACTATTGCTTTTGCTCTTACAAATTCCCACAGAAAATTTGTATTCATTCTGAAAACAGGAAAAGTTTATTTAAATACAGCATATCACCTAATCACTGAATAGATACAGATTAATAATTCCTAAGATTTTCAACAGAAATGTTCAAAAACCTTTTCACGATATGCAAAGTCTTTTAATCTCAAGTCTCACTTTATTTCCTGCTCTGGGATAAAGGAAAGGAGAAGCAGGACCCGGTATTTTTATTTGTAGTAAACACACTTTGCCAATAAAACCACAAACAATAATAATTTTTTTTCTAAAGGTCTCAGGGTTATTCTGCTCTCACTTGAACTTGAAATTAAGAAGGAAGGAAAGCCCTTCCATTTCAGCAGAAGTTGCTGCAAACCTGCTAATCAAAACAAGTCATTTTTTAAATTATAAGTGAAAGTTTAAACCAGACAGAGAATTTTCACTTGCAAGAAGGATTTTCAAACCCAAAGTGTATCTTCTGTTTTTAAAATATACTTTTCCCCTATTAAAACATGGTTCAGTTCTCCTCCAAGTATAACAAAGAGTCCATGGTACAATCGGAGCCCCCTCTTTTATTCTGTGTTTTATAGCTAAAGGTCTTCAATAAAATTCCCCAGAGCTAGAAATATAAAACCGTAAATTAGTTTGAGAATTCTTCATTTAACTGTTAGATTCAGCAAGATTGTTTAGCTGATTCTCCCATTCCATGAGTTTCCCGAATTAAAAATAGACCCCTACCACTGACCTATTACCAGCACCATGTCTATCTACCTCTCTCTCTCTCTCTCACTCATTCTCCCTCTCTAAAGAGTGACTTTCTCTGGAAAGAAGATATGATCTGTCCTGATCTGAGGGAGGTGACTCCCAGAAATCTATGGTCATAGGTCCTTAAAACAAGGTATGGCTTTAGTTGGAGAGTCACGCTGTCCCCTTATGATTTTTAGAGACGTTCTTGCATCAGGGCAAGAATAAACACTGAGAATCACTTCCTAATCTAGTGCACACATTTTTTTTGGTCCATGTCCCAGACAACTGCTTAGTCCACGTTCCCAGGAGAAGCACCTCTCTTACAGCGTGTTTGTACAGACCAAATTTGCTTCTCACGAGGCAATGCAACCTTATTTGGATGCCCTGTTCATTTCTTCATATTTAAGAAAACGTTCAAATTTCCAAGTGACATGGGCAGAGATCTCTTTCTGTTAACAGGATCCCATTTCTGAATCACCTCTTTATTCCTTGGAGAAGGAAATCTATGAGAGCTAAACCTACTCCTGACTCTGCAATTTGCATCCTGTTTTGTATTTATTTCCTTTTCCTTAAATTTGCCGGAAGAAATATAACGTTTTTAAAGACACCGATGACTTTTCCTTCTTTGAGCTGCTATGTCAGAAATCCTTAAAGCAGAATATGTACCAGTACATCATACACAAACAATGGCCATGTCTTAAATTATCCAAAAAGTTCTCATGGCCATCCTTTGGTATTCTGTTGTGAAAATAAATAAGTAAATACATAGATACATGTTCTGCTTCACAGGACTTTTGCAAACTGTGAGGACATATCTTACATTTGAATTTTGGAAATTTTTTTTCCCTGCATTTCTTTCAAGTAAAATCCAGTTTTTGTTCCAGCAAGGTCCTAGTTGGAAAGATATAAAGAAAAAAGGATAATTTTTTTTTTCAAAAGGAAATTGCAATTCTATCTATCTCTTAAACTGCTTCTACCATGTTTTAAGAGAGTCTGTTCTGATCAGCACACCAAGCATTTCTAATATATTAGGAATGAAATGACCAATGTGTCTGGTCATTTCTCTGGAGCTTGCTGCCGAGGATGCAAGATAGACATTTAATTCACCCCTAGCCATATTCTCCAGCTCCCTTCAGTCTGGATTGTAAGTAGAGTTTCTATAAACATATGGAGGAAAGCTTATGAAAGTAAATCTGGGTCTGATTCATAACAATGTCTCTACAGTCCTATGGAGGATACATTTCATCACTGGCCCTTGCATCTGGAACTGGTCTTTTCAAATGTGGGATAGCAGTGGCTCCAGTCTCCAGCTGGGAATATTACGGTATGGAAACATTCATAAATATTACTGTGAAAGCATTTAACACATAATTACTCTATATTTGATGTTGCTAGGAAAATGGATTATGCAGTAAAATTCACCCCAACATCACTGGGGAAAACATAATCTATAAACAAAGTTGTTTATATCATTCATTATAAACATGTTGTAACAATCAAAGAAATCTCAAGAGTGGGGAAAGCCTCTTTCATAATTCACTATATGTTATTTTCTCCCAGAAACCTTGACTCCCTGCCGAACCAAGTCTTTAAAATCAGAGCTAACTCTGTTTTTGCAGGCACACAGCTACAGCATAATTGGCTTTTAAGCACATCTTCTGTACGGTCAGGCCAGAGGCCAAGCAATTCACCTCCGTGCCACAGTTAGCAATTGCCAGCTCCATTGCTCTAGAAATCGAAGTCACAAAAACTTTACTGGAGAAATACTCCTGTGTGTGCCTATTTTTATCATTACATAAATGCAGGATGATTATTTGGAAAGAACTCTAATAATTAGACAAAAATTAGCTTCATCAGATTCTCTCCTCCGTATTGGGGTAGAAATAAAGCAATTGTGACTTGTAGGGGATCTTGATTAAGAAAAAAAGTGTGTGCATCTATGTGTGTGTGTAGGGGGAATGGATCTGGGGAACATATTTTCATCTCAGGTGAAATATCAGTAAAAGTCTTAAAGGTGGCTGGTTTTGTGATTTTCTTTAAAATATATTGAGACCATTCTACAGGTCATTCCTACTTCAGCATTTGCCCATATAGAGTAGGAATGAAAAATATTAAGACTAGTCATAGAAAGAAAATGTTTAGATGCTCCTGTTTCCATAATCTCTTCCTTCGTACTTCTCTAACGACGTTGAGGCAAATTGCAGAGATGACACATATTCTTTGAGGCCAATCATTATAGCAAAGTAAAGCAAGAATATACCTCAAGAGCTCAAGATGGGAAAATGGAGAAACAGTTATTAAACTGGAAGATCTTGTTGGTTAATGAAATGACATGCATCACATGCAAACAATGTATTCTTATGTATTTTACAGCGTCTATCTACACAGAGAGATTCATGGGTCTCCCAACAAAGGATGATAATCTTAAGCACTATAAAGTAAGTGTTGCCATTTTATTTTGGTTATTAATTAATTTCCAATAGGTTAAATAATTTTAAAGCAGTAGTTCAGAGTTTACAGTTTTAATTCTGGGTCCCCAAACAAATACAATCTTTTGTTAATTGCAAAACACATTACTAGAAAGGATTTTACTCCTTTTGGATTCTGTTCTTTCTTTTCCCATCCTCCCCTTCCCTAACCTCTCTTTTCCCAATCTTCCTCCCCACCCCCAACCCCTACACAGCTTGAGCGGGCATCATTTATGCCTAAGGTCTCACTCATATGTAACATATGACACATAAACTTTCAGTTTTTCAAACTAAGAATCAGATGGAAGTAATGCAAATGATGATGAAAATGTGTTGCTCTGACTCTTAAATATTTATCAACCAAAGCAATACATAATTTCAGTATTGGTGCTAAGTCCATTGCACAATGATTTAGCTAGTTCTCTATTAGAACTTGCAGCAACTAAAATGTTAATTTTTTTCTCTTTTCCAGAATTCAACTGTGATGGCAAGAGCAGAATATTTCAGAAATGTAGACTATCTTCTCATCCACGGAACAGCAGATGGTGAGGTTTAAGCAAGACTCTTACACATAAAAATACTGAGCCAGCATCACTTTGTTTAAGAAACATTCAGCATCCTCCTATGCCTGTGCTCAGGGTCAGTACCTAGGAGTCAGGGACATTTCCATATCTGAGTGTGATTACTCACTGCTGACAATGTCAAATGCATGACTAGATAATCGTTGGTGTTCATTTCCAGGCAGTATATTGTCACTCTATGCTTTCTGGTATTTAGCAGCACTTTAACTCTCTCTCTCTTTGTTGCAGATAATGTGCACTTTCAAAACTCAGCACAGATTGCTAAAGCTCTGGTTAATGCACAAGTGGATTTCCAAGCAATGGTACATAATTTTGTTTTACTCATGTTCATGGCCTTAGACCCTCAAACTAAAAGGAGGGGTTCATATTTTTATGTTTTTTAACTTTTAAAGTAAAATCTGACAAAGAGGCTGCAGGATAGGGTAGGCAGAACATTCTCAAATGAATCTGGGATCTTTTTTTTAACTCCTGAAGGACCCGAGACAAACCACATCACCTCTCATGTTCCCAGTTGAGTCATATAAAATAAAGGAGTTCACAAGATTAAGTGATCTTCTAGGTCAAACATCCAGTAGTTCTGAAATCCTGTGTACATAAGTGTAGCTACATGCTTAGAGTCCCTGCAAAACCTGAGCATCTTTATGCAGCTAGAAGATTCTGTTTGTTCAGTAAGAAGCAGTTCCAGAATGTCATCACAACCCTCTAAGGCTCCCTGAAATCATATGGCTCTATTGGGGGTTAGAGAACTTTTCACCTATGTATTCTCATCCACTGGCATACACCTGGCCTATCACAGATGCTCAGCTTCTTACTAAGTGAATGAATGAATGAGCCAAATGTAAAATCCAGGTTGCATGAGAAATGAGAAATGGAACCAGAAAAGAAAATAAGGTAAAAGCCAAAGCCAGTGGGCGGGGGGTGAGGAGATTCTCGGTAGCTACCTTTTCCTCTCACAAATGCTCCCTCAATTGCTTATGGTGAACAAGAACCCCGAAAAGGAGACCCCCATCTTTTCAAGATTTGTTCAAAAAAATTTACTGGCTGGGAAGAAAATGGGGAGGGGGTATAAGAAGTTGGTTAAGGGGTACAAAAACACAGTTAGATAGGAAAAAATAAGTTCAGTGGGAAATTATGGTCAATGATAACTGATTATATAATTCAAAGTAGTTAGAAGAGAAGAATTACAATTTTCCCAACATAAAGGAAAGATGTTTGAGGTGATGGATATTTCAGTTATTTTGATTTGATCATTACACATTGATTCAGCCATCAAAATATCCCTGTACCCCTAAAAGATCTACAACTATTATATATCAATTTTTTAAAAATGTACAGAGTGAGATGAGCTTTCTCTGACCTTTTTTAATTGTGATCCCCAAAGTAAATTCAACTTAGTAAATATATGTTATTACATCATGACCACTGCTACCTTTATTCAGTGAAAGCAATAATCTTAGTGGCATCTCTCCAACAATAAATTATAATACTATCTTTTACTTTTTTAATGCTATTTTTAACTCCTATAAAGGGTATTTATGGTTATATATGAATACATTATATTGTGGATTTTCTGCAACAGGGAGGAATTAGATTCACAGGCTGAAAGCCTCATGGAATTTTTGAGCTACAAGGATTCTCAGGGAAAATCAAATCCAACCCCTTTGTTTTTTCAAATGAGAAAACATGCTCCAAAGAAGCAAAGTAACAAACCCAGTGCATCACTTCTGCAAACTCTAATTCCTGATCCTGATCCGCCAGGATGCTGGATGCTTTGAGGGCTCAGCCACTGAGATTTAAAATATGTTTAAATCGTGTGAAACAGTAGTGGAGGTTAATGAAAGCTCTTTAAATCTTCCTGCTGTAAATATTTACATGTAAGCTATTTTATTTATTGGAGTGTTCTTAGATAGAATTTCCCCATAATAGAAATATTATCAGGTCTTGAGAGCACAAAAAAAGTCCAAGCTAATTGCATTTTGTGGCTACAGGAATAAAACAATCTTCTTTCTTTGTGTTTCAGTGGTACTCTGACCAGAACCACGGGTTATCCGGCCAGTCCACGAACCACTTATACACCCACATGACCCACTTCCTAAAGCAGTGTTTCTCTTTGTTGGACTAAAAACGATGCAGATGCAAGCCTGTATCAGAATCTGAAAACTTTATATAAATGCTTCAGACCGTTTGCTTGTTTTATTTTTTATGTTGTAAAATGCTGGCATTAACAAACGAATATTGTTCTAAAGGCTGGTAAAAGAAAAATGATGAGGACTCAGAAGTTCAAGCTAAGTATTGATTACATTTTCTGGTACTCTGTGAAAGAAGACGAAAGGGAGTCATGCATTTTTCTTTGAACACAGTGTTTTATCACCTGTTTGTTTGAGGAAAAGTAGTAAAGTCAAAAGTTCAAGTGCTATTGTGTTGTCTGTATTCATTGATTTCAGGTTCCAGGTTCTATCACAGGAAGAAGCAAGTGCATAGATAATATTAGGGTGGTCATGGAGGAGAAGAATCTGGAAGTGGTCTTGGTTTTCTGTCATGAGAACTCCAAATACTGGAACCAATAGCTCAGAGTAGGCAAAAGCATTGTTCAGAAAATGTAAGTGAATCACGTTTGAGATGTTTGTACTCTATGCTGTCCCTCCAAGAAATGTTTATTACATTTCTCCCAGAAGATTTCTTCAACATTGCCAAAAGCCTTCGATAAAGATAAAGTCAGACTTTTGAATTCAGGCTCCTTTTAAAAAATGCTTCTAATTTGGAAGTGTTCCTATTTTGAATCCATTTTTAGAGCTAGTAATGGTAACTGCTTTCAGATAGCTAACCTATAACCAAACCAAACAAAAATAAATAAATAAGTAAATAAAATGGACATCAATAGCTAGAAAGAAAAATTTTATATCTATGAGGTTTTTCTGGGGTTTTAGTTCTACATTATAAAGTTCATATTGGAAAAAAATTGCTGTAATGCCTACAGTCTCAAAGTAATGCATTGCTAGTTATTATCACCTTCAATTAGAAAGTACTGGGGACCTGCCATCTCAGTGATTGCCTTAGAATAAAAGATCCGTATCAGGTCACCAGAAGATATTTCTTGAGTGAATGTTGGAAGTATCCACCATGCTGCTGTCTAAGGGACTCTTCATTGTGTAATCCCTAGCACTAGATTGCCCTGGGTAATTTCTCCCCATCCCTTGCCTAATACTTTCTTTCCAGTTGCAGATTAAATCCTCTCATGCTTTGTAGCCAGAAAAAACAAATCCTGGCCTGGAATATTACAGCAGGAAGGCCACAAAGAGCAGACATGCAGTCTTCGCTAGAGTTTTCTGACTTTTCCCAATCCAGTGTTCTTTCTACTTCTGCTTTCTGAAACCATTTCCCCTAAATCAGGCCACATAGCTCCACCTCACACATCAGGAAGGTATGTTTTGTGGTGGTCAGGAATTCTGGATAAAAACTCCCCAGATTCAGGACTGGCCATAGCTCCTCTTCTCCTCCTTTATGCAATGACTAATGCCCTGTGGATCAAAGGAAGCTACCATCTTCTCTCTGTGTTCTACACAGAGCAGCATCTGAAGCAAGCCCAAGAGCTTTTCTCATTATTCATTCTCTCCATCTAGGAAGAGATTAATAATCAGTCATTTTCTAATACTCTATCTAGGGAGACCACAGGGTCATTACAAATAGGAAGAAGAAAAATGCTATTTCTCCAACTGATTTTCTGCCTTTGTGACAGTTGCAAAACTGGATTCTAATATCAGTGTGCAGTAAGTGGTCTTCAGCCTTTGTTCCCACTGCCACAGAGGCAACTGCTGAGACAAAACTAATAGTGTCATTTTCCCACTTAGAACCCTTCAATGATTCTCCATTGTCTACAAAACAACACTCAAAATCAGCATGACACAGAGAGCCCTTGACAGTCTATCCCCATGCATGTTTTCCAAACCCTTCCCCTGACACCAGCTTCTGTAGACCCTTAGATTAAAATTAGATAAAGCTTTTTAGTCACACTTGCCGCATTTCCCTACTCTGTAGCCACATGGTTAGCACCATATTGGACAATGTTGATGTAGAACATTTTCATTATCACAGAAAGTACTGCTGAACAGTGGTACCCTAGAGAGAAATCTTCACTGCCTTTGTCTTAGAATGTGTCATATCACAGAAACTCACTAATAGTTGAATGAATGAATGCCTTTGTATTCATGGAAGATTCAGGTTTTCTGTATTACTGTTGATGAAACCTTCCCTGATCGCCTCAGGTAGAATCGCCTAGGTCTTCCTCAAAACTCTCCATATATTTTCAGTTATTTATTCATTCATTTATCCAACAAACATTTACTGAGTCGGATTGTATATCAAACACTGTGCAAGACTTTAAGGATGTAGTGAGATCAAGGCAGCAACTTGTGTGGCAGTTTTTTAAGTGTTCACATTTTCATACAGCTTTATTAGATTCTTATTTTAGCTAGGAAGATAAAAGGTACATGAAGTACAAAAAGGAGGCATTTTAAGTAGAAAATATCAAACTAAAAGAAAAATTTAAAAAATATCTTGCCTCTTCTATCTGTAAGAAGCTAAAGTATAATAATAACAATTTACCACATTTTATTCTTGGATATGAGACATGGGAAAGGGGGACTCCCAATAACCTAATCAAAGCTGCAAAGTATAATCATCCTTCACATATGACAAATGAGATTTTCATTCATTCATTCATTCATTCAGTGACTGAAATTGCAAGCTACTATTTTAGGTACTGTAGGTAACTCCCTGATTAAAAAAAAAAATCTAGTGTAAGGGGGAAGCCATAAAACAATTAATTTCTAAAAATTATTTCAAATTAGTCCCACAAGACTGGCCTGAGAGCTATTTTTAAAGGTTTCAAAATTCTAGATGACCATCTAATATTTCTTAGAGTAAGTAAGAAAAAAAAAGCAGCAAGCAAATGAGTATTTGGTTAAATGTAACACAAATGAGAGAACTTTTATTGGAGTTTTTAATGTTTTTTTTTAATCTACGCTTATTTATGAAATGTGTTATTTAGTTCCTTAAGGAAACATTTATTGAATACTTATGCTGTGCGTAGTAGTATTCTGGGTACTGCAGGGGTTACAAAGATGAATATATATGACAACTTCTCCATTTCTAGACTGTTTCAGTAAAGGCGACTTAACGAATCTGATTTTCCCAACATTTGAGCATTTTTCAGAAACTGACAGATCTTTATGCAAATGTTGTTGCCAAGCTGTTTGTAATGGTGAAATTATACTTTGACAGTAACTCTTTAAAATATATTAAACCCAGCTAAGGTTTTTTTGGAAATGTTGCCAATTAAGTGACTTTAATGAGCTTCTTGATGGTAATGTAATTAAAATTCAGATGTTCTAATTGTGAAAAAAAAAATAGTTCTGGGAAAGTTAACAGTAAAATAAGCAAATGTAAAATGAATTGGGGCTAATTTAAATGGTGATAATGTGGTCTTCTGAGAAGATTCTACCAAAACAATGCTTTCAATTATGCTGTTTGTAAAGAAGAAAGAAGGCACCTAACAGAGATTTTGAATTTATCCAATAAAGCAGATATTTTGAGTTTATCCAATAAAACAGATTGAAAAATTCTGAACGCAGTAAATCATTCTCAGCCTGTGAAAGAGAACTGCTAAAACACTTCCTTGGCGTTATGGACAGGTACGTTGGCAATTTGAAGTGGAATAATTTTTAATTCAGGGAGAAATAAGCTCAGACCTTACCAAGATATTCATGGGGAAAACGATCCGGCTTCTAGCATAAACCTCGAATGACCACCTGCTCAGATTACTGTCATGCAATACTAACATGCTGGTCATAAATACACTTCTTTTGACACACAGGTAACATCTTTGGCAAGCTAGAGCGGTCTGCTTTTATTCCATTGGTTTCTAATTAATACTCCATTTATTACATACTTAAAACATTGTATTGACAGTATATGTTTTAACAGGTACTCATTGGGATAGCATTCCATCCTTTGCTCTGTGGTTATAGAGAACCAGTATTGTGTGAATAAGATTGTACCTTGTGCAGTCAAGGTAGGGTCATGCCACAATGGCTTGACAACTCATCTTCCTTCTTTTATATTTACTGTTTGTTGACAAGCAAAGATAGGAACATCTTTGACAGCCATTATTTTTATGGCCGGGAATTGTTCTCACTGCTACAGAAGGTGAATATTTGAAGTAAGTGTCATAATGAAACAGTAGAATATTAAAAAGTGACTTGTATGTTTAAAAACTACTATCCATTTGCAAAATTAGGCTTGTTATTGAAACACCGTTTTAGATATCTATGAACACAACAGAACATTTTAGATATGTGATAAAATTTCCTTATATCCCACTGGTACTACACGAAATTTCCAACTTTGAGAAATGATCATTAAAAAGTGATGATGCTTTAAAATATACAAGTGCTTTGTACATCCACAGGAAACAATGCTGTTCTCTAATTTCCTTCAGAAGATTAAAGCAGCATTTTTCAATGTTATAAATTTCTTTCTTTCAAATGAAATACAACATAGCTCACTTGTCAATTTTGTAAACAGAGCATGTTTACCACAGCTCATTTTAGGGGCAGCACTGTAGTGGGTAAGGGAATGGAGGCTAAAGTGAATCTACCTGGTTTGAATCCCAGTTCAGTGATATATAAGCTATGCAACATTGACAAATTTTCATACGTTCTTTCTGTTTCAGTTTTCTTATATGTGAAATTGAAGTAATAATAGTTGTTACCCCCATGGAATTGATTGTTGTTTTAAAACAGTTATCATTTGTAGAGCAGTGTCTTACACATGGTAATTATTTTGTAGGTGTTTGTTAGATGCATAAAATGAACCACTTTTTAATGGTCATTTTCAATAAACTAATTCTCAGGAAATTAATAGTCTCAGTTGGAAGCCAATAGTTTCTTTCCCATGCTGGAGAACGTAGTATAAGTGTCTTCGATCACTTATACACGAGTCTTTATTTCTAAAACAAGATGGCCTTTTAGGAATAACCAATATTGAAGTCATGCATATCCAAGGAAGCTCATCTTCCTTGATACTTACCATAAATGAGTTGTTCATCCTTGTATCTCACTCAATACCTGTCTAAGGAGTCTAATATTTGACAGCAGTGAAACACCTTTGAGAAAGACAAACTGCCTGCGCAATGTGTAGTTGAAGGACACGGGCAGTACATTTACCCAGCTTCCTGTGCAACCTGCAAAGCACCACCGTGGCCCTCCTCTCTGGTCCTGTCTCCACCGCTCTCTCATCACCTACCACAATGCGGCCACCCTGGTCTCCTCTGTGGATTTTGTGTAGGCCAAACTTATTTCTGTGCCAAGGTCTGGAACATCTTTTCTCAGCTTTTCACTTGGCTGTCTCCTTCTCATC